CCAGGTCAGCACAGACCCTGCAGGAGGAGGGACGCTAGCTCTTAGGGCCTCAGGGCTAAGGCAGCACCTGCTGATGTTGCAACCTATGCAAAACAGCCCTAACCTCTAGAACCCCCAGCAATCTCTTTCTCCTCCAACTCTGGTCTCACAGAGAAGACTTCCTTGGAACTCAGTCAGACCAAAGGAGGACTGTGGGAGAGTAAGGAGCACTGCATTTGGCGAAATGACTTTTATGCAGAAGGCAGTGGACTTAATGTCACCCACTGTCCTGATTTGCCTAGATTGGCAGCGTTTTCCAGGATAAGGGATTTTCAGTGTTAAAGCTGGGTCAATCCTGTGAAAACTGGATGGAGTCACCTGAGAGCTGCAGGAAAGAATCCACCCTCTCTGAGCCTGGCTTGTGGCAAAAGACAGAGGCAGGCTTGGTCCCAAGGTGCTTGTTAATGGTTCCACTAGCCAAAAACTTTCCTCACTACTCACCTCATGCAGGGGGAAAGGCTAAAGAGTAAAGGGGATCCTGTGGCCAGATTAAGAGCTGCCAAAGAAAACAGGCAGACCAAAAGCATCTGTGATATTTGTGGTAGGGAGTAAAGTCCCTTGTGTTTAGAGAGCTGGGGGCCCATAAGGCCCCACAAGAAACTGGGGTGTTAAGAAGTGAGCTGAAGAGCATCTGAGAAAGCAGCCAGGTCAAGGATTGACTTGACCAAACCCTTCACCAAGGTACTAATGCTGGGCAGAAGAACCTGGGGAAAGGGCATTAAAATCTTTTACCCCACAGCCTCTGCAGCATGAATTCGATCCCTGGCCAGCCAGGGAGCAACCCACATGGCACAGCAGACCTCTCCTGTCTTGCATGTTGAGCCCCTCTGCAGTGTGTTTCAGTCAGTCTGCCTGTTCTGCTCCCCACTGTCTCTGGTGAATCCTCTCACCACCCCCCTCATCTTTGGCCTGCACCCCAGCTCTTGTATGCATAAATAAATAAATCTTTAAAAAAAAATAGTCTTTTACCTATTGTCTCTTCTTTGCAGGGACCCAGAGGGAAGGACTTAAGGGAGAGACCTGCTGTCCTGGTGTGGGCCCTGAGGTATCAAAACAAGCTTATTTCTTTAAAGCTTCCCCAGGAAATAGGCCCCTTTCCAAGGTGGTCCAAACTGGAAGTCGTTGAGCAGAGAAATGTCTTGAAGGGCGGTGGAAGTTTGAGCTAAAGCTAGACTGAAACACTAGATCCCATGGAGAACATCTCTCCCGATCCCTTATTTGACAGGTAGGAGATCTAGCTCAGGGAGGCTGTGTCAGTAGTCCAGAGCAGCACATTTTCAAATGGTTAGAGTCCCACATGGGATTCTCCACCACCACATGCCTCTCACTTGAATAACAGGGGGAAGTATGGCCAAGAGAAGGTAGAAGAGAAAGAGAAAACAATGGAGAGACTCCTTTCCTCACAGCTACTGTACCCTTTTTGAGCATTTTTAGCATTTCCAGTTCTGTCCTAATGTTGGTGAGTCCAACACCTCCAACTATAAAATGCAGTAGAGCCTATGATGTTCCCATGGAATGGCCGGCTGCCCCCATGTTTCCAGCAATCCCGAAGCAAGATTCCTGGGGAGATCTAATAAGGAGAATGGACCAGCTCCCCAAGGCACCTTGCAAACCCATAATAAAGAGGAGTGCATGAGAGAAGGGCTCCACCCTGGACACGGCATCCAGAAGTCACCCTCTTGGGAAGCTTCAGGAGATTCTGAACCCTCAGAAAGGAGAACGCAGAAATGCCTTGACCCTTTGACAACAGACCCTTGCAGCTCCCTTAGCAATTCCTGCCATCACCTTTCAGTTTCGTGCCTCGCTTACCACTAATAATTCATTGCACCTAAGTCTCATCACTCCAGTAAGACAGTTGGCTTCTCTATCTCCGATTTCCCTACCAAGCTTAATGCAGCTGGGCACCCAGCTGGTTCTGGGCCTGAATCTTCCTGCCTTCCTTGGCTCCCAATGCCACCAGTGGTTCATTCCAGTGGCTCACCCAAGAAATGGAGTCAGTCCAGGGCATTCAATTTTCTTCATTTTCCTAAGGGCTGACTGACACTAGCAAAGGAGGGACAGGGGGGAACTTCTGAATACAAATCTGACAGACAGCCTGTCACGATACCAGGAGCTTCTAGGTATACAGGGAATTTATTATTAGCAATTTCTAACCATTTGGATAATGTTTATAGTCCTCCTGAGGAAGATACTCATTTGGAACATTTAAATCAGACCATGAATCTCATGGAGAACTGGAATACTATAAGGATATTGCCGAGAAGGGTCTCTGGTGTGAGCCACATTTTAACTTCTTGGGTTTTGATTACCTTGTGTATAAAAAGCTGGCATGGCAATGTGCGATTGCAGGCAGGTGACTAACCCAGGTGATAAAGCTCCTTCCAGCTCTACACTTCTGTGCAACACTGGACCACTTGTTCATCCATGTGCAAAAGAGTGATGTGGGTTTGCAGTAAAAAGACCCAGGGTTCACATTCTAAGTAGCATTTACTAGCTGGCTGGTCTGACTTTGGCTAAGACACTTAATCTTTTGAAGTAATTTTCTTATCTGTAAAATGGTGACAATAATAATATCTTTACCACGTAGATGTTGTGAGGTTTAATTTTACTTTACAGTGTGATTGATAAACTGTAAAGTAAAATTCTAATGTCACTGAAGATTAACAAGCTATAATGACTGTAATAAATAAAATCCTACCTTTACATAAGCAAACATTTATGGGTGACATCAGAAACACAAAAAAGATCATGGTGAATGGATTTCCTGGTAACTCCTCCCTGCAGTAAATGCTGATCTCAGGGTGGAGCCTGGGGGGCTGGATTCTAAGAGTGCAGGGTGAGGCCTTGTTCCATCTGCCAGGACCTCTCCACCTCTGCTTCTGCAACTTGAAAGCAGACCTCCAGCACCTCTTCCCCAGGCAATAAACCAACAATAAATGGAGGCTGATTGTTTAGTGTTCCAGATACAAAGGGAGCAGACACTCCAGGAATTAATATTCATTTGTACTATCCCTTAAAAAAAGATGCTGCTGATAAGCTCCTGAAAAAGTTGTGTTATTGGTAAATGCTAATTACATTTCCTTGGATGCGCACCATACAAAATTCATCACAGTTTTTAGAAACAAGATGCCAATTGCATTTTAAGTGTTGGAGAAGAAAGAGCAGGGAAGAAGTCTACCCAGGAAAATGCTAACTGGGCATAAATTGAGAAAGAAATCCCCCCAGGTCAGAAGTTCCCGTTCTGAAAGAAGAGTTAAGCAGGTTCTCTGCTGAAGCCAGACCTTCTCTAAGAGAGCACTGACTTGTCCTCAGACTTGTGGCATCAGAGCACCAAGTCGGCTGGGGCTTTTATTACAGATCCTGACAAGCGAATTTGACCAATTTAAAGAATTAAGCAAGTATATGCCAACATAAATCACTTCATTTTAATAAAATAACAGAACTCTTGGGACCAGTTCGCAGAACTACCCTTCTAAAACCAACACCTTCTTCCAGTGCCAACCAAGCATTCTCATAGTGTTCCACCCCCACCCCAGCAGGGCCAGCCAGAGCCAGGTAAGAACAGGAAGTAGGTGAGACCCAATGGAAAGGGAGGATCCTGACTCCAGAGGCTGCCTAGCCCTGGTCCCATCTGCCCAGGAGCATCATAGCTTGGGGCTCTTCTAGAGATATTTCACCCTCCGGAGAGCACAGGGAGAAGGCAGGACAAGAGTGTCCCTGAGCATCCTCTCAAAAGAGGCACGCAGGTGCTAGGAAAGGCGGGAGTGAGGACAGTTTCCCAGCAGCCTCTTCCCTTCAGCTCCTCCTCCATGTCTCTCACCACCCCTAGCCTCCCAACACAGCCCCAGCCTCTCTCCTGACATTGAGGATCACAATGAGAAACAGGGATTCATTCTTAGAGGCTGTGGGGAGAAGCTCCATGGCCCAAAGGCTGGGCTGTGGGTGGTGACTATCCCTTGGGCCGTGACAGCAGATCCACGCCTTCCGTGTAGGGGCTGCTGCTCGTTGGCCATCTAATGAACCTGCCAAAAACCCCAGAAAACGTGAGGTCGGTGCACACAGAGATAGGAAGAACAGGTCTAGGGATGGGGATCCTAGGCTAAGAGAGACAGAAACTGGGTGCACCACATGGCTCTACTACCCTTGCTGAGTAAATTTTATTTTGGTAAACTGCTTCATAACTTTGGTTTCAAACGGTACTAAAAATATCTGCTTCTTTAGGGTTTTGTAAGGCTTGAATATAAGCTTATAAAATGATGTGCATGTCCCCAGTAAACTCTATAGAATTTATGACCTACAACCTGCCCCCATGCTCAGCCTTAGAGAAAGATGTTTTTCATTATCACAGCCTGTATTTGCAAAGTACTTTATACAAATAATGTGTTTTTGTACCTATTTTATCTTAATCTTCCCATTGAATGGATGAAGTTGAGTGGCTTGCCCAGTGTCACGTAAGAATGAATATGTTTCTAAACCCAAACTATTACCTGCTGAGATAGCCCCATAGTGCAGGAAATGCAAGCACTAGTTATAGAAATCAGGGGCAAATGATGGCCATAAATAAAAATAGATATAATATGAGGATGACTCATGCCAAGCCTAGCACTGTGCCAAGTCTTCTACAGGTCTCACCTCATTCAATCATCACAATAGCATATAAGGTAGTCAGGAAGCTTATTACCAGGAAAACTGAGGGTTACCAAGGTTAGGAAATCACAAAGGTCAGAGTAAATGGCAGATCTAGGTTACAAGCTCAGGTCTACTCTTCCCTACGTAATGCTTAAATGGACAGAAATCCAATGGATCCAATATTAAAAACATAGTTTCATCCTCCCCCTCCCGCCCTCCACAGGGGAACATTCCCTAGGCCCCTAGTCAGCCTTCCACAGGGTGAGGGTCACAGTATCAAAGGGGCCAGTAGATGCCAAACCTGCCCCACCCACACCTGCCCTTACACCCACCTGTGCTGTGTTGAGGATCCAGTCCAGGAACTCGGCGACTTTGGCGTAGATGCCGGGGCGATTGGGTCCTCCACAGCCATGACCCCAGCTGACCACCCCCACCAAGCGCCATATGTCCCCATCAGGGCACACCAGGGGGCCCCCGCTATCCCCCTGAAGAATTCATGCAAAGAGATACAAACAGGTAGCCAGTGTTCCTATGGGGGAACACCAGATCTCCCCCGGGAGCAGACCAACGCAGGCCCCTTTGCTTCCTGTCTGGCTTCTGGCTTATCTCATTCCACCTAACCACTCAGGCTGCTGCTGGAGTTGTCTAGGTGTCCCTCCTTCTAGTGAAGTTGCTCAGACCAGGGGCCAAGCCTCCTGCACCCTCCCTCTCCCACCGTCCCCTCACAGTGGCACACCTGGCATGCGTCAGCTCTCCCATCCAGGTAGCCCGCACACAGCATGCGAGGGGTGAGGGCCCCGCTGTATATGCAAGAGCTGTTGCAGTGCTTGGTGCTGAGCAGGGGCACCACTGTGTCCTGGAGTGTGTCCGAGGTGTGGGCTGCTAGAGGCCAAGACGAAGAGACAGAGAGTGAGGTCACAGGGCACAAAGCTAGACCCAGGAGGCAGAACAGCTTGAGGGAAGGTGATTAGATGCTCCAGACATAAAGATAAGAAGGGAGCCAACAGTGGGAGCTGTGGACCCTGGTCAAGGAGGCAGTCATCAATCAGACTGGGAGGCCGGGAGTGAATGAGATATAGAACCCACACAGACACTCCAAATACTGATACCAGGTACTCCGGGCATGAGTTTTGGGGGAAACTCAGGAGTTATTCTCCCAAAGACCAGACATAGAAGATTGGAGCACCTAGGCCTGGCCAACAGTGATGCCAAAGGAAAGGGGGAACAGCACGGCCACTTGGCCAGGGAAGGTGCAGATGGGAGGTGAGGTGCCCAGACTCAGGAAGGTGCCTCCCTCCACCCTCATGACCCGGGGGCCTGGGAATTTACTCACTGTGGCTAGGGTCCGTGTGGCCCCAGCCAGACACCCGGCACTGTGAGCCCCTGGGAAATTCCTGATCCTCAGCCGGCAAGCACACTGCACCCACGGTGTCTGTGGAGAGGCACAGATCCTAGGCCCCACTCAGGTTCAGGCTCCATTCCCCAAGCATGAAGGAAGACCAGAGCTGGCAGGTCCCCCTCAGCCCCTTCTCAGTTCCTGACCTCCACCATCGGGCCTGCTGGATGGCTGTGTGTTTGTGCTCTGTACCCCTTTGGGGGCCACCCCAGAGAGGACCACATGGAAACTGCAGTGTGGAGGGCAGTGTGGGGGTGAGGAACCCTCTCCGTTGGATAGCGTCCACTGTACTTCGCCCACCTGGGGACTGTGGGAGAATGGAAATTCCTCCGAGGAGGTAGCAGTGAATTGCTCATGAGGGCATGTTTTCCCCAGGTGTTTGGCCCCTCTTAGAGTGTTGCTTGCGAAAGTGTGTGACATGCCTGTGTGTGGAGCCCAGTGGGGACTGGAGGGCATACACAGACTTGCAAGTCAGTAATGCTGATTCCCTTGGGAGAAAGTACTTCCTTTTCAGTTCTCTTCCCGTTCCCCTAGCTGCCTCAAGAAACATCCATGGGGTTCTACCCTGACTACACTGTACCTCTGTTCAGGCCTGACAACCTCTATCTAAACAGAAAGAGAGCAGGGCCTCCCTGGTGGCACAAGGGGTTAAGATGCAGCCTATGAAGCGATCTGCAGTCACTGCAGTATCACTGCAGCATGAGTTAGATCCCCAGCCAGGGAGCTACCCACATGGCACAGCAGACCTCACCTCTCCCACTGCTCCCCTCAGCAGTGTGTTTCAGTCGATCTGCCTGTTCTGTTCCCCACTCTGTCTCTGGTGAATCCTCTCACCCCCTACACCTCTGGCCTGTACCCCAGTCCTTGTATACATAAATAAATAAATCTTTTTAATAAATAAATAGAGAGAGAGAACAGGTCAAACGCAGCAATTCTGCAGAAGAGAGCACCCCGCTAGAACCCAATGCTCTTTTGTTTTCACTCTGTATTTTGTGGTTACTATCTATTAGTAGTTACTTTAAGTAGTTTGGGTTCTCCAGTTAGACAGAAGCTTAAGTTTTCCTTTTAAATTAAAATTTTTAAGTCTTCCTTTTTTTTAAATTTTTTTTAATAGAGGCATGTTTTTTATTTATTTGTTTGTTTGTTTGTTTGTTTGTTTTGTTTATACATGCACTGGGCACAGTCAGAAGCGCGGGAGGGTGAGAGAATTCACCAGAGCCAGAGCGGGGAGCAGAGCAGGCAGAAGGACCGAAGTACACTGCTGAGGGGAGCAGCGGGCGGCAGGAGAGGTCTGCGTGCCATGTGGGACCCTCCTCCAGTGGCCGGGGAGCAGCCGGGGATCACTTCGCAACCCAGCGCTCAACCGCTGCGCCACCGGGGAGGCCCTAAGTCTTCCTTTTTTAAGTTTAAAAGTTTTCCTTTTAAATATATATGTCATTTTAGAAATATTGGTTGTTGAACAACAGTTCAGAATGCACTCATTTTAATTTGTGACAACCACTGTTGTTTGGGAACTCCAAGGCTACAGGTGGGATGAAAGGGAGGAGTGCCAAGTGTGTGTGAGTGTGCACAAGTGCCTGTGAGCGTGAATGTGCGTGTGTCCTCACGCGAGCAGGGGTGTGTGAAGTGGGGGTAGTGTGAGTGCATACACACATTTGTGTGTTTCCATGAGTGTGTTTGCAGGTGAGTGCATACGTGTATGGGTGTATGGAAGCTGCCCTTGTAGGGGAGGTGCTGTGCAGGAGACACAGTGCCTAGAGTCAGGATACTCGGTCAGGAACTGTTTGCAACATCATCCTGAAGACAGTAAGTTCCCCTAGTAACGCCAGTGTTCCCACCTGTACATACCTGCATTATCAACCTGTCATGAGAATTAAATGAAAGAATATTTGGCAACATAAAATAAACCTTATTAATTGTGATGTCACAAAGTGGCTGGAAGCTGGAACTCACCTGGGGATGGGGTGGGGAGCAGCCTAATAATAGATGGAGCAACTGAGAAGCTCTGCTTGGAAACTTGAAGCAAATGCCACCCGTGGCCCAGCTGACTAGAGTCAGAAACTTTGTCCCCAAAAGAACCTATATAAGAGTTGGTGTGGGGCCTCCCCAGTGGTGCAGCGGGGTGAGCACAGCACTGTGAGGCTGTCAGCAGCCTCTGCAGTGCAGGTTCAATCCCTAGCTGGCCAGGGAGATACCCACATGGCGAGGCAGACCTCTCTTGTTGTGCCCGCTGCTCCCCTCAGCAGTGTTTTCGGTCCATCTGCCTGTTCTGCTCCCCGCTCCGTCTCTGCTGAATTCTCTCACCCTCCCACGCTCTGGCCTGTACCCCAGCTCTTGTATATATAATATAAATCTTAAAAAAAAAAAAAGAGTTGATGTGACTTCAGGTTTAGGTGATACCAAAGTTCACTATGGTCACCAATAGAAGTGGATGTCTTAAGGGTCACTGTGCTGGGAGGAGCTCTTTGAACTCAGCATTCCCTTTGGGGCGCCCCCACAGCCTGTCCTCTCTTTCCACAGCCTGCAATTTGCTCACCCAAGGCCAGTGCCTCACCAGAAAAGTTGAGCGGTGTCCGGAGCTGAAGGAGAGCAACATCGTAGTCATGATTCTGGGCACTGTAAAGAGGGTGGGGGATGATCTTCTCCACCATAGCTCCCTGGTGTAGCCTGATGGCACTGTGGCTGACCAGTCCTGCATGAACCCGCCAGCTGGACAGGCGGGACAGCCTGAAACTGCACACAGGAAGCAAGCTGAGCCCAGGGAAAAGGAAGGGGCATGGTTGGTTGACATAAATGAGGTGACTGGTAGAGGAAGCTGGCCAGAAAGCCATTAGCAGAGGGCCTCATCACTAGGCTGCAAGCTCCCAAAAGCCAGGGGCCACACCTCTTAGCATCCTCCCCACAGCGGGCAAGAACCTGAACCTGCAGTAGGTGCTTTATAGGTGCTGAAAGACTAGCAGATAAATAAATAAGACACTATGGGTCATTGGCGACCACCAGCCCCTCTCTCCTGCTTAACCCACCTCCAAGTTTTATAACAAACATCAAAGGAGATTTAAGATATTATAATTCTAAGTCAGATGAGAAAAACTTCCATCAGTCCTATCGTTCTACTTATTATGTGTGCTCATGGGGGAGGCAGTCACCTTTCCTCATCATAAAATGAAGATTACACTGCCTGCCATACCCACCACCAAGAGAAGAGCTCATTTACTCATCATTCAGTCCCTCATTCCTCCAACCAGACTGATTAAGCACCTACTACTTTCCAGGACTGTTCTAGGCCATGGGGACATGACAGCAGAAAAATGGACAAAGGGATACAGTGGTAAACAAGTCCCTACTCCTGTGGAGCTTCCAGTCTAAAGGGGAAGAAAGACATTAAACAAATAATTACACGGGAAATGATTTAATTACAGTGGTGATAAACACGAAGCACAGGGTGTTGTGAATGTGAAAGCATTCTAACGACTTAAAAACTTAACAAATGTAAAAAGCCAGTCTTTGTGTTACTGCTTCTCTATGGAGCATTCTTGGCATTGAGCAGATAATTCCACCAACACCACTAGGCCCACTAGGAGCCAACATGTGGAGTTAAGACAGTTGGACGTGGACACATTATACAGGACATACCAACAGCTACACAGAAAAGGGTACTGAGCCCCTCTCCTCCCCAGGAGCCCCCGAGACTTGCCTATGCATGCAGTGTGCAGCAGTCACCACCCAATGTGGGGCCAGCACGGAGCCCCCACATGTGTGCCTGGAGCCCAGGGCCACACTGGCCTGCCATGGCCAGCGTCCAGGAGCCACAGCCTGTCCGCCAACTATTCGGGAAGCCAGGGGCCTTGCCCCACACTCTGCAAACAGAAATACTGGTGAAGTGGAAAGAAAGAGAAGTAGGTGTCGCATGGTCCTAACTCTCAGGGAGTGTGGCCCAGGAGGACATTTCTCATTTATTATTCCCAGTCCAAAGTTAGGGGTGGCAAGGCATAAGTGCTCATTATGCCCCTCCCTGGCCCACCAGGCTGCCAGCAACCTGAGAGCGGGGACTATGCCTGGACCATCTCTGGAACCACCTATCTAACAAGATGCCTGTGCCATAGCACTGTGAAAATGGCATGTGCATGGATGGATGTGCATTTGGCCCTTAACTCACTACCCTCCTTAGTCATCTGAAGTTGCTCACTAGTTAATAACCAATAATAATTCTACCTTTGGGGCTCCTATTATTTAAAAAAAAAGGGGGCAAAAGTAAATGTCAGAGATGAAGTCACATGGTGGCAGGCAGTGAAGCAATGAGATCATCGGACCAGACCAGTGACTGGAGGAAGTGGAAAGGACAGAGGCTTCTGCACAACTGTTTGGGCAGAGCCGTGTCTGCGAGAAGGGGCCTGGCGGTGGCTGGGCCAGTGTGTGAGCACCCTAATCTAGCTCCAACTGAGTCTCTGATGGGCTCTTTCACACTCAGGGAAGGGGGTCTCCTTCCCATCACCATCTTCCTGGACCCAAGGCATGACTCACCAGAACATTTGAGGGAGACGATTCGGCCAGAAATGCAGCTGTCCCTGCAAAACAGAGGCACCGACAAGAAGCTAGACGGGGCCCACTCTGAAGCCACTCTCTCACAAGAGGGTGTGGAGGGTGGAGATAGTCAGCAGGATGGGCCAGAGGGGGGTCTGTCAGTAGCTACAGTCATCGGCTTCTGACCCAAGCCCCTAGGCCGCCCTGTAGTAGACCTCCAGGACAGCAGTGGGCACTCTGCCCAGTCACCTGGGGGCACGGTCCTCAAAGATGGATTTGGGCTCAAAATCACAAGTCAAGTGTTCACAGAACAGAAGCCCAGTTGTTCCCACAGAGCACCCCTGAATAAACATGTGTTTGACAGAAACAGGATAATGAATGAATGAACAGGGCTCCTGGCCCCCATGTTCCTTGCTGGGTTGACAGTCTCCTCCATCCCATGCCTGTTGCCCCAGTCCTGCACATTCATATCCTTGCTATCCTCTTTCTTAGCATCAATTTCAATTCCTTTTGGACCAAAGTCCTCTTCTCTTTCTCTACTCATCTTGGGCCCCCAGCAGTCCAATGCCCAGATCCTCTTCGTCCCTCCTAGTTTCCCAAACCAACAGTCTTCCTGTCTCTCCTGGAGGTTCAATCCCTCCCCTACTCGCCTTTGCCCACAAAGGCATGTGAAACAGGGAACATTCCAAGCCTCCCCCACCTCTAGCCATGTTCCTATGAGGGACCCTCAGAGGATAGACGCTACATAGGAGAGGCCTGGAAAGAAACCGGTGCAAATGAGAAGGATTTAGAGCAGAGACAGGATGTCCACACAGCCAGCCAACCCAGGAGGCTGCTGGGCAATTGGAGGAAAGCCAGGCGGGGCAAGGACCCTTTCAGCTTGTGCCCTAGTCACTCCAGACCTACCACCAGAATTTGGGTAAAAGCTTGCTCTACTCTGGAGGGTGCCCAAGCACCCAGCATTTCCTAGTCAGAACAACTCAATCATCTCTGAGATAACAGAATTGTCCAAATGAAGTATGGCAAGGGTGAGAGAACACTTCATTTGGAGAGAGGAGCCTGGTTTCCCCAAGATTTAGTTTGGCTGCTTATTAATGATGTGACCTTGAACAAAGCCCTTTACCCCACTGGGCTTTAGTTACCCCATTTGTAAAATGGGACTAAAAGTACTATTTCAAATCCTGTGACAGTAACCACCAATCCTGCAGTTCTTAAAAGGGGCAAAAAAGATAACCGAGGTAAAACAATGAAGGCAAGGTTCCTGTGAACTGACTTTGTCATTTCTGATTGGGAAATGTTCTTCTTTGTGCTCCTATCTTACGCTGCCAATGTCCTCACCACCAGACTGCTGTGACAGGAAAACTTGGAGGACTGCTCACCAGGAAGTAAGAAGTCCCACTCAATCTCCATATAAGCCCTACCTGGGCCACCACACCTCCTTGGGAAGGCCTCCCTGTTCAGAAGAGAGCTGAGCGAACTCCTGGGAATTGCTGAGCTTGATGTCAGACAGGTACGCTCCTTTGTGGTGAGTGAGGCTTGGCAGAAGGGAACAGAATAGAGGAAAATTGCAGCATGAAATATGATGGTTAATCACAACCTGATTGTGCACGAGATCCTACACCAACATAGTGGCTGAGCAAAACTGTGATAATGGCATCTTCTGAAATATGTTTGTTAGAAAGCAGAGGTATACAAGGGAGAGAACCAGGCTAGGACACTATCATGCTCAGAGGCCAAGAGATGGCCAAAATGACCTCTTGCCATTTCCTGAGCACGCTGATGGAGACCAGCATATAGAGGTAGGTCTCCACAGCCCTCCTGCCAGTCCCCGCCTCCCCTGACCTCAGGTCTGGTCTGTTACCTGAGATGCCCAAGGCGCTGGCAGATCCGTAACCCCAGGGCAGAGCTCCAGCCCTCGTAGCAGACTAGGAGCCAGTCCAGTCGGGGCCTCACCTGCACTTCCAGCAAGAAGTTCTCAGGCTTTATTCTGAAAGATACTGAGCCCATGGCATGAAGGCAGGGCATGTCCCACCTGCTGAGAGGCAGAGGAGCTGCTGAGCAGAGGTAGAGGAACAGGCAGGGCAGAGGTAGTTGGGCTGGGTCCTGCGGGGCTGAAAAGGCTTTATGATAGCAGCTGGGCCACCAATGTCAGGCTGTCTACTCCCCAGGGCATCAGGCCAGTACTGAGAACAAAACTACTCTGATATGTGGAGTATTTTGGATTTTTCTTTTAACCTAATGCTTTCAAATGTGCTCCTTCACTCTTGTCCCAACATCCTGTGAGGTAAGAATCACCGCCCCCCTTGTCCTGTAAAGGGAAAACCAAGGCATAGAGGTCAAGTAACCAGCCCAAGGTCACAGAACTATAAGTGATGCATTCAGGGCTTAGGTGCAGGTCTCCTGCTTTCAAATCTTCTGACTATATTAGTGAGAATTACCACTTATTGAGTGTCTGCATTTACCAGGCTCTGTGCTAAGTTCTCTTCTTTAATAGCTTACATTATCCTAATAATCTTATGCAGTAAATACTTTTCTTTCCATTTTATAGAATAAGGAATGGAAGCTCAAAGAGTGATGTGCCCAAGGTTGCACAGCTAAAATGGCAGGCTGCAGGCTTATGCTATGGCTGATTCTAATCCCTGCCTCTGGGCAGCGTCATACCACTCTCCCGGACTCGTACCTCCATGACAATGTGGGATGGGAGAACAGTGTCAGCAATATTCCCAGCCCTCTAGGTGGCCACTGGGTGAGGACCCCTATTGGTCACACTTTGACTCCTCTTGCCCAAGCACACTTTGGTTCCTCTTCCCCAACAATACTGGCTCACTCTGCCCCACATGGCAAGCCGCCATCCCTCCTGGCCTGGTCTCCTGGCAATGCCCCTGTTAGTGATCAAGACGGTCCCCAGGGAGTGCTGAAAGCCCCAAATCAGAAATCAACTGTGTGATGTTGAGCCAGGGGACACCCTCACACTAGAGGAGAAAGCATCTATTGCTAGCCACAAATTATGACCCTTCCTTTTGATTCTCCTTGCCCCCAGGCAGAAGGGGGATCCCAGAGCTGGGAAGGGGCCATGGGGTGGGCTGGGAGCCAGGTAGCCTGGGGGATGTGGCCCACCTGTTCTGGGAAGTGAGGGACGCAGGGCTTCTTCACCACTGGCCTCTGAGCAGCTCAGTGTCATCTCCCCATCCTCCAAGGTCCCAAGAGTGGGCTGCAGGGCAGCTGGCCTCAGATACAGCACTTCGGAGGACAAGGATAAGGAAAGGGTCACAGAGAAGAGGTCAGGGGAAGAAGAGGTTCCCACAGGAAAGGGTCAAGGAGTAGAACAGGATACCTATGGCAGAGGGAGGCAAGAGAAGCCTCCTGGGGAACCCCCTGCCTTCGGTAGACCCCCAGCAACACAGTGCTCTCCCTTGCTCTTGCTCTCACACACTCTCTCTCAAAGACGTCTAGACACTTTGACTAACACCTCCTTAGATAATCCATTCAAGTACCTTTCACTTCTCACTGTAGAACTCAAATGTACTTCTTTACATAGAGCCTAAAACCTCCTGACTACTCTGTCTAGTCAGAGTAGACCAGACGTCTGTCCCTTGCCTTTAACATCTGCTCAGGAACTGTGCCTTTCTTTCAATGCCCCCTAGATCCTGTTCTTTGTCCCTCCCCGACCAGAAAGAGCGGCAGCACTACCTAGGAGCCATGTGCCGACACTCGCACCAGCCAGCAATGCCAAGGTTCCTAGCACCGCACAGCGACGCCAGCCTGAGCACCAGCGCCTGGCCTGAGAGACTGTGGAGGAGAGTGGAGAGGAGTATCTGGGTGCCCTGCTCCTGCCTGCCAGTCTCACCCCACCCTGAGATACCACCATGGACTTTGGCAGTCCCTGAGCTACTGTGGGCAGCTTGTCTTACTGCAGCTCTCACCTCCCCCTGCCCCATCACTGAAGCCCATAGACCCCACTCGATTCCCAAAAATGGGAAACAGAGCAAAAGCAGGTCTAGGATAAATAGTGAGACATCTTCTCACCATCAGTTATTTGGAGCAGACTCAAGGATCTGTGGAAGAAGAGAATCTGGGGGCTGTAGGAAGACTATCCCTTCACTGCCCCCACCCTGTCATTCCCCTATGGCCCAATCTGGCCTACTGGGTTGCTGCTGAGTCTTGGGCCTCTGTAGTGGGTCTTCCAGCTCTGCTCTGAAGTTTCCGGGTCCTGGGCCCTCCTCTGCACACCGAGCTTCCATGGATGCTTGGCCATCCAGCATCATACTCTGGGGAAATAGTTGTCAGTCAGTCAGGGTCCCCACACCAAGGAGGTAAGTCACTACAGCCCATTAAAGAACCCCAGGTATGCCCTTACAACCACTTATAAGTCTTTATTCATCTTGGGGACTCCCTTTGTGCTTCCATAGCTGCCCCTCCAGGCCCTCTGGGCACCCCTGGAACCCCTAACACCAACCACCATACTCTTACATTGCCAGGACATGTCAGAACAGAGACATGAACCCACATTAGGACAATTTCAAAACCTATGCTCTTCCACACCTCTCTCCTTGCCTCCCAGGCGCATGGCAGGAATCCACTGAATCCCTCAGGATCACTCCTCAGCCTCAAGTTCCATCCTTCTTTATTCCACCTATCAAGAGGAAAAAGTTCTCCTCCCAGTACCATCCATGCCTTCAATGAGTATTATTTAGCCCAAATGGACAGGCCACGGTGAGGATACCACAGGGAATTCAAGATAAATCAACAGAGACCTCCACCACTGATGCTTCAAGGATTTGTAGTTGAGTCCTGAATATAAGTGATGTAAACAAAGCAAATCACGTTAAGTGACGGGAGAAAAGTTCGGGTAAGCTGCCACTGGTGCCCAGAAGGAAAGCTTACTTCTTACTAAGGAGATCAAGAACGGCTTATTAGACGAAGGAGCCTTGAAGACAGGCACCCATAGGTGAATAGGGTTTGAACTGACATATGGGTTTTCAGTATTCCAGGCAAAAAGAAAATGAAGAGGCAAAGGCAGAAGGGTAAAAAAATAAAGTACAAAGTCAAACATTTGCCTAAAGTTCATGTGTCATGAAGAATGGAAAATAAGATCTTGGGGAAATACACTGGACCACCAGTTCAGAGTGAAGTCATAGTCCAGGATCTTATGGCTGGACCTCTCATCATCAGCAGGTCTTGCTTCTTTCGGAGAAACAAGGCCCTAGCTTGCACAAACCAAGCACACTCTTTAATGTACCTGAATGTGAGGTTAGTATGCCACAGGCAGTGAGACTAAGGTGCAGCAGGTTTGGGAGAGTCAGTTAGGCATCCAGAAGAAAGCTGAGACGTGGAAACGGGTAAAATCTGGGTTTCTTCACTGGGTATACAATTTCTCTCGAGCTGATCTCCCTGTGAGAAGAGAAGCAGGACTTGATCTAGAGAAAATTCCAGGATATATCCACACTTTCCTCTTGTCTCATTATCCTTGAAACAGGCCTCACCTCAAGCGTTGTCCTACCTCAAAGCCTACCTGTTCAAGTTCATGTGGTTCTGAAAAAAAATGGTCTTCTATGACACAAGACCATTTGGCCCTCCTTTTAAGTTCAAAGCAATAATTTGCTAAACACTGCTTATGTGCAAAGTGCTTGGGTGAGCATTTGGGGGACAAGAGAGGAGAATAAAAAGTAGTTTCTGGGGTAAAAAACCAGGTTAATCACATAAACCCCTCTAGGATCTACCCCACACACCAGAGCTACCAGAGGAGGCTCTTTCTACCAGCCTATATTCCCAAAAGACAGATTGGAGTGGAGAGAGACAGACAGATAGAACAGATCAGAGATAGAACAGAGGGGTAGCTTTACCATAAGGATGAGCAGCAGCAATGGAAAGCTTCAGGGTAGGGTCTGCAAGGCAGAGTTCTGCTCCTGCTCTGGATCAGTATTGATTTAATAGCCCAGCCTGCTTGGTTGGAGGGTGAGGCCTTCCTAGCTCAGACACAGCCCCACCCTCCATTATCTCCCCCCTCCCCCCCACACACAAACACAGACATGCAACAGAAAGACAATGAACTCTGCTCAGAAATCATGAATAGACCTTTGTTGCAGGAAAGGGGGCTGAGGCTGGGCTGGGCTGGGCAGTCTCAGTCCCTCTCGCCTGCTAACTGGAAGTTTAGAAACACAGAAAAAGGTTACAGGGAGGAGGGCAGGGCAGCTACTGTTGCTCAGCAATTGGGTCTCTTGTGCCAAAAAGTGTGCCCCATGCAGGCTAGCACAATTCCGACTTCCTGCTGACAGGTCTGTATTGGAGAGACTGATATTAGCATTTGTTGAAATGTTTCTGAGCCCTCTGGGTTACATCTCATCTGTGTGGTCTGGCTTTCCCTGAGTCTGGGCTGTCACCATGTTGGAATTATTGGGGAGGATGATAAAGGATCTTTGTTTTCTCCTCAAGGCTGCACCTGTCACCCCAATGCCAGGGAAATGGGGTGGGCCTCTTTTTCCCATCTGCCTCAGGGAGGCTTCAGTCCTCAGTGTTACCTTGTTTCAAAGCACCAAGGAAGGCAATTGAGCCCAGAATAAGCTTTACACATCTGTGAGCCACCTCTCTTTTGTCAAGGAGATAGAACAGGCTCCAGGGAAGAGAAAGGTTGGTGTGACTCCCACTCTCCCAAATGCCTCTCCAAGATCCTTCAGCTGGGACTGTTTAAAACATGGACTTCAGAGTCAGGTCTTCATCCAATCCCAGTTCTGCAATGTCCCTCACTCAACCTCACCTGTTAAGTGAGGATACTAGTACCTATCTTAGAGGACTGATGTTAGAATTAAATGAGATACTGAATATAAAGTTCTTAGTGTGGTATCTAGCACAGACTCTATTCAGTAAATACCTACATTTACTCCTGCCACCACTATCACCATTACTACTATTATTGTTATAACTGAACCTCACCCATTCAGGCTTTACTTTTATTTTTTGCTCCCTATTTTCCTCATGCACTCAGTATGTCGACTTTGAGCTTATGTTCATCACACAGATATCTCCATACATAATATAGTGAAGAGACAGAAGTGAGTTGTGAATCACAGAGCAGGAAAAAAGAGTGGTGATTGGGGTTGAGATCCCTCTGGCTCTGAGACCTCCTAGGAAAAACTCTTGAATAACCTACTGTATGTCAGGAAATAGCCTGAGAATGAGAAATTAATAAGCAATAGGCAAAGAACTTACAGACTAGGAGAAGAGACACTAACAGACATGTTATTTTTGAAAAATGAAATCACAGAGTCCTCTGCCCAGAAGACAAAGAGAAAACTTCACAATGTGGTAGACATTTGAGAAAGAAGGCAAACATATGAAAGGACATTTCAAATATCTTACAGGTGATGTCAGTGAAAATGGCAGAGTAACGACTTCTAAAAATTCTCTCCTCCATAAAACTATTGAGAAAACAGGCAAAAAATGTATCAGAATCAACTTTTTTAGAACTCTGGGAATTAACCAAAAATATATAGCAATATGGGAAGTGCCTGTCCAGGAAAATGACAGAATGGTGAGCTTTGTGGTGTATTAGCTTGCTCTAATTCCACCACTCTCCCTCCAGCACCACATAACCACATGACCACAATGAACATCAGCCTGGCGGTCACTAGTACAACAGGACTGGAACTCCTTCAAAAGTCTACTTCCCAAGAGCAGTCATTATTTGAAATATAAGGAAGCTTTCACTCTCAAGGCAGTCTTTATCTGACCTGACTATGAGTTTGTCCAGTATGAACAGCTATTTTCCCTAAGGACATCTGTTGAAAGTGATCAGAGACCATTATTGGACATCATGGCTGCCTGAGGCCATAGATAAGAGTTGGGACAAACAAGAGGCTAATCGAAAACCTTCAAACAAAAATTTGGAGAGTGAGTTATTCTGAAAGAGCTTTGAAAGACTGAAATATCCCTGGGACTCTAGATAGCACACACATGCATAGGACTGTGCACATGCCCAGGGCAGTATAGATGCTCAGAAAAGACTTCAGGAAGGTCTAAGGTCTCACCTGTGGTTAACCTTGACACTCTGAATAAGCAGGAAGTCAAGACGAAGGCAGAGCCATAAACTTTTCTGGCTGTTAAAAATGTATGCTCCCAAATGTCCAATAGGTGACTTTTTTGCTCTACACATATAAGATAATCTCTGTCCAATCATTAACTGACCACTGAGCTATTGGAGCAAAGACCTCAGAGGTCACACATGATGAAGAACATAGACATTATAAAATTATTTCAGAGAAGTCATTAAACAAACACGACAACCACACATACTAGGAAACAGGAATAATCTAATTTTCAGAGTTCATGTACATTTACATCTAAAATCCAGTTTTCAACAAGAAGTGAGGCACACAAACAAAAAAATATGGCAGAAGTAGAGAAAAAAGCAACCAATAAATGGTTTCTGATTCAAGGTAGTGATATGAACTCACTTCTTCCCACAGACATCAAAACTATAGATGCATATGGAGTAACTTCCTCTGAAAGAAATTCAGAAATGAAAGAGCCACTTCTACAACTGGACAAGTAAGAAAATACCTACATGGAAACTGGTAGAAAAGTCTGAAACATGCTTTTGCCATAACATACACACATAGCACAGCAACACAAAATTGGGATGGAACTCACAATTTCCAGCTTCTCTGTGAATAAAGCATGGTTTGGAGTCAACATCTAGCACCCCAACTTTAAAATATTTCACCTGAGGTACAGGCCCCAAAAGCACCTGAAAGTAAATGAGGCATGTGTCCATGAGATATGCAGATTAGAACAAAGAAATAGTTCTTAATGGACTCAGTTTAGTGGGAGTGGACAGAAATGCCTTCTCTGTCTTTCCCTAAAAGAGGCCTATTTATATACTATAAAAGCTAATGCCCACAGATCAGGTTTTTAATTTAGCATAAATTGAGGGCTTAACTGCTCTCCTCCCTGCTGACTGGGAACTCTGGTAGGTGCCACCTCTGCATTCTCCCCCTGGACTTCTCCAGTCTCTGCTGTCTCCCAAGAAGAAGCTTGTACATACATCTAGCTTTCCTATTTTGGTAGCTTCCACCAAGAGATTCACCCCTTGATCAATAGGCTCTGATGGTCAACAGGGCTTGCATTCACGGGAGTCACACAACTTTATCACATAAAAGAATGGATCTTATCTGGTTATCCCCTTTTAATATAATTATAATAACATGTAAATAGAATAAATTCTCAATCAAAAGACACAGCATAACTAGATTTTAAAAAAAGACCCAATCATATGCCATCTACAGGAGACTCACTTCAGCATTAAGGACACAAAATACAAGCAAGCTGAGTTCAACATATATTAAAAGAATCATACATTATGTTCAATTGGGGCTTAGTCCAGGGATGCAAGAATGGTTTAACAACTGCAAATCAAACTATGTGATATATCTCATTACCAAAATGAAAGATAAAAATCCTATGATAGTTTCAATGGGTGCAGAAAAAGCATTTGATAAAATTCAACATCCTTTCATGATAAAAACACTCAACAAACTGGACATAGATGAAATGTACGCCAACATAATAAAGGGCACATGTGACTGCTGACATGATATTCAACAGTGAAAAGGTGAAAGCTTTTGCTCTAAGATCAGCAACAAGGTAAGGATGCTCACTCCAGCCTTTTGTTCAATATAATACTAGAAGTCTGCTACTTGGTAAAAATAAAAAAAATTCCAAACTGTAAAAGCAAAACAGTCAATATTGGCAGGTCCCATGATATTATATATCAAAAACCATAAAGGCTCCAAAAAGTGTTGAAATTAATAAATTCAATAAAGTTGCCAGACACAAAATCAATATTCAAAAATCAATTTCATTTCTATATACTAACAACAAACTCAGAAAAATTAAGGAAGGGAAACAATCTCATTTATAATTGCATCAAAAGAATAAAATGCCTAGGAATAAATTTAACCAAGTAGGAGAAAGACCTATATACTGAAAGCTATATGACACTTATTAACAAAATTAAAGAATACACAAAAAAATGGAAAGCTATTCTATGCTCATAGACTGGAATATTGTTAAAATGTCCACACGACCCAAAGTAATTACAGATTCAATGTAATCTCTATCAGAATTACAGCAGCATTTTTTACAGAAATAGAACAAGCAATCCTAAAGCTTATATAGAACTATAAAAGATCCCGAATAGCCAAACCAATCTTGAGAAAGAACAAAGCTGGAGGCAGCAGTCTCCCTGTTAAACTATATTACAAAACTATAGTAATCAAAGCAGTATGGCATTGGCATAAAAACAAACACAGATCAAGGGAACACAATAGCCAAGAAATAAGCCAATGGTAAATTAATTAAAGACAAAGGAGGCAAGAATATACTGTGGGGAAAACAGTCTTTTCAATAAATGGTGCTGGTAAAATTGGACAGTTATTTGCAAAAGAATGAACCTGAACCCCTATCTTACACCATAAACAAAAATCAACTATAAATGGATTAAGTTTTAACTCAGAACTGTAAAACTCTTAGAAGAAAATATTCTGTGTAAGTTGCTTGACAACAATCTAGAATATCCTACTCTCATGTTTTTATAATCAGAAAACTACTGGGGCTTCAAGTTACAACTCAACTACCAACCCATCCAAAACTAATCCTTTAAATCCAGAATTAGGGACTTTATTGGGAAGAGGGAGAAAATTGTTATTCTGAGCATCTTACCCAATTACTGGCATATTAGTCTTCAAAAAAAAAAAAAAAAAAGAAAAGTAGCCTTTCTGTCCCTATACTGCACTGTGGCAGCCACTGAGTGGGAGGGATGGGAAAAGCAGCTCTCGCCTCTCCACACAGGAGCATGCATTCCCAGGAGGAAGGGAAAAAAGGCTTTCCTTGTTCAAATATTCAGGCAGAAAATGACCCAAATTGTATTCTAGGAAATTATTTCTAAGCTTAGAAAAAAAATCCATTGTTTCTGGATTATTTTGCAAGCTCAGAAATAAAATATAAAGTTTATAATTTGCATACTATAAATAAAATTTCCCCTCCAAAATTGTTCATTGAAATACTTTTTTTTTTTAACTTTTGTTAAAAGCTTTTAGTTTAGGATCCATTCAAATTCATATCTAAAGATTTAAACTTACAGAATACTCAGCCAAATATGGACTGTGAGAATTCCCCACAAGATGAGTCAGAGGCATCAATGTTGGACACAAAGGGCATTTTTCATCTGTTTTAATTAAGACACAAAGGAGTAGCAAAAAATATCAATCATGATGTTGATGAAAACCAACTTCCTAAACATCTGCTGTATGTCAGTAATATTTGTTTAACACTTTAAATCAATGTTTAATAACTGACATGAGTGTAAAACCTTTGTGATTCAGAGGTCAGACTCTCCATGTGCAACCTTCTTTGATACCCACTTTGCCATCCATTGGTCTTTTCTTTCTTCTTCAAGACCAACTTTCATCTAGCATCCAAAGCCTATTAATACCCGATTGCATACAGTGCAGGGTGGGGCACTGTATAAAGTTCTCTCTCTCTTGGAATTCAGTCCAATTCAGACATGCATGAGCACAACACAGAAACAACAGAACGACCTTAGTAATATCACAAGGTTAGTACGACATAAAATCAGTTTTGTTTTTACATCAAATTGTGTGGGGACAGCTGCTTTGAAGTTTATTCTGTCAAGACCATCCTGGCGATCTCTATCTCTATCTCCACAAGGCAGGGGATCTCTATCTCCATCTGATTAGTTACCTCACCAAGAGCAGAGGGGCTAAACAGTTTGCCCAATTTCACATTGGTGAGTGACAGGGGCAAGAAGAAAATTAGTTCTCCCAACTTCAAATCCAGAGTTCTCTCCCCTCCCCAGGGCGGCAACCACAGACCCAAAAGCCCAGTGAGAGACTTAGAGGGATCAGCACCTCTTGAAACAAGAGGTAGGTCTAGGGCTAAGATTTAAGCAGGAAAGGCAGAAGTTCAAAGAACCATGTCAACTTGGATGGGTGGGGTGAAACAGCCATCAAATCTAGTATCAGTCCCTGAGGGTTTTATAGTAAAGGGGATTTCAGGAACATTTTATAGGAAACAGCTGACTTGATATATGGCAAAATGAGGAAAACTCATTTTGGAAGGAAACTGGAGAGCTTTTACTTATTTAATTTCAAAAGAAATATCCAAGGCAGAAAATCCCAACAAGCCCCATCAGCATTGCTCTTTTCCTGCCAGAATAGAAATAAAGTTCCCAGGGCCTGGGGCTGAATCAAGGATGCCTGGAATCAAGGACAAGCTCTGCCAGTCTTGTCTTTGTTCTCTGTCTATCTGTGAACCATAGTTACAAAGCAGCTGTCCCAGTGACTTGGCTAATTAAATTAGAGTCCACTGAATGCTTTATTGACCTGAAGCTCACTCCAGTGAGCAGGCCTACTTTGAAGGTGACTATATTCATGGCTGTTAGTCAGAGGAGTAAATAAAGTGGACAAAAACAATAAGGGGAAATAGGGAAAGCTTTGTCACTATAAACAACATATCTCAAGTGCAGCTGCTAGAGTGTGGGATTTGTAGGACATCTGTCTGATGTTATGGGTTAAATGGGTACCCCCATTCATATGCTAAAGTCTTAGCTCCAGCACCACAGAAGGTGACCTTATTTGGAGACAGGGTCTTCACAGAGGTAATCAAATTAAAATGAGGTCACTAGGATGGGCCCTGATCCAATATGACCAGTGTCCTTGTATAAAGGGGAAATTTGGAGACTCACAAAGGGAAGATGATAACAAAGAAACACAGGGCGAAGCTAGCCATCTATATGTCAAGAACAGAGGTCTGTAACAGATGTTTATCTCATAACCCTCAGAAGAAACCAGTCCTGCCCACATTTTGATTTTGAATTTCTAACCTCCAGATCTTTGAGACATTTCTATTGTGAGCCATCCAGTTTCTGGTGCTTTGTCATAGCAGCCCTGGCCAACTATACATATGGAGACATACAAAGGCAGAAAGAACCGTTGAGTGTTCATATAAATAATGAAAAGAACACCAGCTCCAGACCTCCAAACCTGGTTTGAGATCCCAACTGTATTATCTACTATGTGTACTTGGGTAAGACAGCCTCTCTGTGCCTTGATGCCTCATCTATAAAGCAGGGACAGCATCTTCCTCAAAAAAGTATTCTAAGAGTTATATGTAAAGACATATATAAGAGTACATCTTCACATTTAACCCTAAGATCCAGCCCATCAGCAGCCAGGCACAGTGGCTAATGTAAATCTGACCACTTACCAAACACTGATGATAAGGAACATGAGTCACTTTTGTAAAACAAACTGCAAAGCAAACATTAGTCTGCTATTAGCATACCCTCTTGGGATTCTGTGAAGAGTATGATGAACGCTTCCCTTCTCAGTTTTATTGCCCCACTGAATTTATCCTACACTCACTTTTTCTGACTCTCTGGAGATTTCAGTTTTATGCTGCAAAGTCCTCCTTCATTCTCCTGCCAGACTCATGCAGGAAAGGAGTTTGTTCAGCAGCCCCCAGGACCTGCCTCTCCCACCTCACTCTCAGGCTCACTTCTAGATAGCCATGTAGACTTTGAGGAGGGGGAAAAAGTACCATTATTTGCCTATTTCCTTAAATGGTTATGAAAAAATGCTTGCTACTTAAACCCTCCCAATCTCTACCCAAAAATAATTATAATAAAACCAAATGGAAAACCACATGCTGTAACAATAGTAAAATTATATAAAACAGCCCTATTTGTCCAGAATTGTTGCAAAAGTAGCAGTGTGGGGTAATGCCTATTCTATTTAAGTTTCCATATCAAAGCTGAGACTGACTTGCAAAAGAATTCTAACAAAAATCAGTTATGCTAAATTCCCAGGCACAGGGATGGTTTGATCTTTACATGTTCAGAAGCCTCCCAGAATTTGGTAGTGTTTCAGGGACAATGTCAGAGCTTCAGTGACTGCTGAAAGATCTTGATAACAAGAATAGGTGGAATAAATTCTAAACAGATAATGATACATATACATATATACAAATATACAAATATCCACACACAGTCAAGGAGAAAATCTCTCCTATGACTCAAAAGCAAATCCTTCCCATGCCAGGGGTCTCATGGGTTACTGAAGACAAAACTCCTCATGTCACAAAGATCCCCCTTTTCTCTTTATTTGGACCATGTACCAAACATTGTGTGGAGCTGGCCTCAAATAAATCCATAGCTATTTGTTAAGCTTAATATGCCCAGTCTCACATTGAGAAAAGCATGAGATACCTTTCCTGCCATCAAAGGAATTCTAATTTAGGTGGAGAACTGCCTATAAAATAAAACTCTAAATTATATGCTTTGTGCTCAAAGTGCTAAATATTAGACTTACCATGTCTATGATCACTACTCTGGTCAGGTCTGTGCTGCATGTCTTATGTGTATTACCTCTCTGACCCCACTCACTTTTCTGCAACCCCATGCAGTTAGTCATCCTATTATCTTGTGTATAAATGAAGATTCTGGCCTGTGAAACAACTTGTGTATAAATGAAGATTATATCTTGTGTATAAATGAAGATTCTGAGCCTCTGTGCCCAAGGTCAGAGTTAAGTAAATGCAGACTTAAGAGGGGAACTTTTTACCCAATACACCAATTAGAGAACTGCAATTTTCATTAACAGGCAAAGAAGAAACGAGTTGGCCTAGCCATAGGCCCTGTATTGAGGAAAGCAATCTCAAAGAGCACAGAAAAATGTCAGACATAATCTCATGGCCATAGATTTTAAAAGAAAAACATCATACTATGAATGAAAGTGGAGGGGGAGTTTTCCAAAACTGAAAATCTGACCAAGTTAACAAAATACAATGTGTATATAAACAATAGGAGCACGTGGAAACCAGCAATGACTTCTACAAAACAACAAAAAGCAAAACACAACAAAAAGCCCTAGGCTCTCCCTGAGCAAAAATATAAGATTGGCCTGGATATAGAATAATAGAGTCAAGAAGATCAAAGTTCAGAACATGATGAAATTTAAGGAAAAAAGTTATTTCAAGGAATTTGAGAGGGCAAGGAGGTAGTATGGTCAGTAAAAGCAAAGGAGCAAGAAAGTCAGGCTATACTTGGAGTTGATCATGTGATTCTTAAAACAATGACAGAAGGATGAGCAAATTCAACACTTTCTTTCTACATTTTCATTCAAGGGGAATCAACTTCACCCTGGAAAGGATAGAATAAACATACTTGAGTGGAATGTGAAACCTTGATATCTGAAAAGACAGAAAAAGAAACTCTGGGTTTTAAATGAGTTCAGAATTCTGAATATAAATGCATTCTATCCCAAAGGACTTAAAAATGAAAAAATTATTTAAGTCTATGAGACTTTAACATAAAGAAAATGCAGATGTAGTTACAAAACCATGTTATATAGTCCTTAAAATGAAGAAGTATCCCAATTTTTTTAGTATATGTGCTGCCGAAGCGAGCACAGAAGTATCCCAATTTTTAAAAGGGAGAGAACAGACCTGATATTTTAGATGGTTGTTATTAATTTTATATCTTTAAACAGATATTAGTGAGCAAGAAGTTCTAATTTTTTAGATTTAAGTAATACAAATGTAGATAGATATGGCAAACTAAACTACACATTTAGAAACAGAGCTTAGTACTGAAATTAAGTGAAATTTATAACCAGGTTAGCCTGATATATTTAATAGTATGCACAGTTATCATATAGCATGGTAATCAAGCAGAAATGGAACACTTCATGAAAGTGAAAACAATTCATGTTCTTTTAAAGCAGCAATTCTGGGCCTCCCCGCTGGCTCAGTGGGTTGAGGCACAGCCTGTTCACAGCCTCTGCAGTGCGGGTTCGATCCTGGCCTGCAGGCGAGAATCCCACATGGCACACAGACCTCTCCTGTCATGCCCACTGCTCCCCTCAGCAGTGTATTTCAGTCAGTCTGCTCGTTCTGCTCCCTGCTCTGTCTCTGGTGAATCCTCTCACCCTCCCGCGCATCTGGCTTGTACCGTGGTTCTTGTATAAAAATAAATCAATCTTTAAAATAATAAATAAATAAAGCAGCAATTCTGAAGTCAGAAAATAAGAATGGGAGACAGAAACCAGCCTGGAGCTGCTTTACCTCCAATGCCACTTGACCCAAAACAACCTTAGAGGAGGAAGCTGCCCTGCCTTAAACCAGTTCCAGACTCCAGCCAACACCCAGCCCTAGGACCTAACAGCTGGTGCTGGGTCGCCACACTCCTAGAATTCCCCATAAAAGGAACCCAGGAGAATCTGGGGCTAGAGTGGCAGGGATAGTCTTCCTGATGAAACAATTAGCAAGAAGTCTTTTCTGGGTACCTTTTGAACACTCAGAAACATCCAAGGATTGGGTTAGTTGAAGCAAGTGGCTGGGCAGAGGCAAAAGAGATCCAAGGAGGAAGTACAGGCCAGAGTGACATGTCAGTTACCTATGAGGTGTTTGTTATTTAATACCCAGTGTTCAGGGAATGAAAGTGGAGTGGATATAGGGTGAGCCTGAGTGGAGAATTGATTGGGGGGAAAGGGAGGGAGGCAGGCAGCTAGAGGACAACTCTTACAGTCAGAGAGGGGAATGACAAAAGCTTAAAAACAGAACGCAAATAGAAAAGGCTTCAAAAGAAATCAAAATTCAGACTTTTCATAAGAATGAGTCCTGGGTTCGAAATTTCAGGCTGTCTGGCATTTGCCTCAATAATCTAGTATGTTTATGGGAACAAGAAGGAGGAAAACAGGACGGGGTATATGGATGACAGAAGACTCTGATCGTAATTATTGAAGATGGCTGGTAGGTGCCTAGGAGTTCATCATATTTTTATATTTTTCCATTTTTTGCTTTTTAAGCTATTAATGATTTTCCACTTGACTCAGTAAAAAGAAACCAAAATTTTATAATGGCCTACACAATTATGCCCCCCTTTTTCCACTATTTCTCTAGCCTCCTTCCCTCCTACCCTCTCCTACTCCTACACTCTGCTATTCCTTGAGTTCACCAGGCATATTCCTCCCACCGCAGGGCTTTGCAAGGGCTGGTCTCTCTTCAGTTCTCTGCACCCAGACATCCACATAGATCACTCATCTTCTAAAAGAGGTGTAGTCCGACCATCCTATTTAGAATGGTAGCTCGCTCCTCTTTCCCTTCCTTTATAACTCTAGTGGAGTTAGTATTTATCACCGAAAGTTTATTTTTTTTCATAGCACTTATTCCTTCAAACATACAATCTAATTTACTTTATTTGTGTTTATTACCTGTCTTTGTGAATAGAATTCAAATCACTCGCGGCCAAGAAATTTCTTTTGTGGGGAGGGAGCTGCTTCTCCCAGCACCCAATAGTAAGTAGAATGAATGTAGAAGTTTTTGTAACTGTTTACAAGGATGTGACAAGCAAGGGAGAGGTGTTTTTGGCTTTGGTAGAAGTGTCTTCTTCAATAGTTAGAGTAGTTAAGACCCATCATACTCCCACTCCACTCTCTTGCACTAAACAAGAAATCTAGGGCATCTGATTTCTGAGGAGGAGTAAAGAACTGAAACATAGCTCATCAGAAATTATTGCCCTCCTCCCCAACCTCTAGGCAGAGATTTCATAACTTGATTTTGAGACATCTAAGGCTATCTTTTCAGTATATCATGTAACATCATAAAATTCTTAACCAAACTCATGACAAAGTGAGTAATTACTGTCTAATGCATGATAATTGGAAACACCCCAAACTGGGGCTTTATAGTTTTCAGGAAACTTTATACTTTAGAAAAATGCAAGTTTGGGGGAGGAAGTTATCACAAAACAAATGTTCCAACTCAGCTGTCTGATTAGGAAGAATGTGGACATCAAAACCCAGTTTTAAAGAACTATTTCACACCAAGACTTTTTGCATGGGAGACCACTTCCAGTAACCTTATCCCTACCTGCATGCATTTACAGTTATCTCCCTTTGCTGAAAAGTTACACCGATATGTACCTCCATTTATATATGGCACAAACTAGCTATGGAACTTGGAAAAATTATGTCTTTGGGCCAGTTTCTTTATCACGTAAATATCCTAGGGGGATGTGTGTGTGCACACCACTCAAAATTTTCAGAACATAGGCAAAATCAGATAAGCAACAAAATGAAACCCTACAAAAGGCTGAGAATCATTGCCTTAAGTGATAGCAAAAACAGTGTTACTTGGGCCTTCCTGGTGGCGCAGGGGTTGGGATGCCACCTATGAAACTGTCCACAGCCACTGCAACACGAGTTCGATCCCATGCCAGGGAAGTGACCCTATGGCACAGCAGACCTCTCCTGTCTCACCCACTGCTCCTCTCAGCAGTGTATTTCAGTTCATCTTCCTGTTCTGTTCCCCACTCTGTCTCTCGCGGGTCCTCTTGCCCCCCACACCTCTGGTCTGTGCCCCAGCTCTTGTACGCATAAATAAATAAATCTTTTAAGAAAAAAAAACAGTATTACTTATAAATGCCAGTGACCAACTCACAAATGATTGTTCAGCAACATGTTGCAGCTATTAGTATAGATACTATTCAGAATCTGGCTGACCAACACCAGAAGATAAGCCCAGTATAAAACAGATAAGCTGCCTGTCTTCCATTTCCACACACCAGATCCAGGTACCTTGTGATGCACGCAGACCTGAGCAAAGAGTGCCATCTGGAGGCTCTCCATTTCAGAGAGAAATCCAAGTGCAAAGCTGACCATGGAGCAGGTCACCAACACTGTCAAGTCAGCTTATAGATTTAGGTTTGCCAATTTGCCTTTTTAACAAAAATCTCCTATTTGCTGAAATCTTGAGGCTTCATTATTGCATTTTATTTCTAAAAGTCACTTGTACAGTTCTAGCTGTTATTTGGGAAGAGGTCTCTTTGAGTTGGCCCAGAGAGTCACTACACTTAATCCTCTTAAATTCCTTTTCCCATAATCTACATGTTCTTTCTAAAGGAAGAAGGTTCTATTCCCATTCTTATTCAGGTTTTAAAGGTCCCTGTAAAAGCTGCCAGACCAAATGCCTCTGTGCTCAATCAGATGGCTCACTCCTAACTCGAATGAATGTCCACTTAATCATTTACATCTGTGGCTTTGGCCAGGAAAGAGGATGGAGTCTGCTGCTCCGTGTGCCAAGGTATTCAAACTATTCATTAGAGAAAATAGTCCCAAGAGACAGAATCTAAACTGCCTCAGAACTGTAATGCAGTTTCCTGTGCTACTGAGGGTAGGAAGGAGGAGCATGCTATTCAGTTATAAGGGATCCCACCTCCAAATTGCTGTACCTGTCAAGTAACAGGAATAGCTTCTTGAACAAAAGAAATTGGCTGTTCTATGTAATAGTCCTATGATGCATTTATTTCAGTTCTGTCCTTAGTTCCCCAGCCTCTCAATTGCTGAGAAAAGAATGCTACCTGAAATTGTGTGAATTTTCAAAAACAGTATTTCTTTCATCTATGAAATGGCCCATTCCTTCTCTTTGAAGAAAGACAACTTCTTTGTTCTCACAATACTAAAGTTGAGTTAGATGATTCTTTTTTCTGTGACTTTTCATGGTAGGATGTACTGATTACAGACAAATAGCTTGTCATTAACCACAGCTGAATCATAAAAAGAAAACCAGTCTTCTTCTTTCTTATTAGTTCTTCTAAGACCCCTAAATGGAAAAAGAAAAACTAACCAGATTGACTAAGAATGAGAGAGTAAGGAAGAACACTTGAAGGCAAGAGGAAAAAGTTTGCACTACGGATGCCAGGAGACTAAAGCAAGCCCACTGCACTGAAAAATTCCTTTACAGATTACTTGCCTCAAAAGTACATAAAGGGCAAAACACTTAGCCTCTTTTCAGAGGAAGCCATACATAATCCAGTATGAAGAGATACGACCCAGAGTCCTGCAGAGGTAGAGGAGAACCTTAATACATACTTCCAAAGCCTGCAAAGAATGAAACACACAAAATGTTGCTGAAGGATTACCTACGTCCACCAAATAAAGGATTAGGCTATAGAGCTCAGAGTTAGCTTCTCATGGCACACACATGCTAAAGATACAATAGTAATTTAAATCCTTTGTCATTTATTAAGGTACAGAAATGGGAACCTGAGAAGGCAAAAAATATCTAAGCAAGAAAACAGATTCTAGTTGAAACAGCAAAAACCCGCAAGCTCTATCCTTTAAAAAGTTTTAGAAGTCCTACAAATTCTGAGAAATTAAGTAGTGATGTGAAAAAAGACAACCAGTCAATGAGTCCTCTAGAAGGTTAATCCACGTCAATAAAAAAATAACATAGAAGCTAAAACCTGGTCTCTTTGTCAAAGCTCCTGTGTCATTAAAAACACTCACCTTTAACTCTGGAAAGCATTATTTATTGGAAAGAAATATTAAAGGAAGTCTCTTTGTGTCCGACAAGGCCAAATGTGGTTGAGCTACTACCCACATCCAATTCCCCAAAATATATCTCCCATTTGCTTATAAATTCTTTTCCCCGACTCTTGGAATCTCCTAGATTCCTTGATCTGAAGTCAGGGCCTACATTTATGATAAATACAGTTCCCAGAGGGCCCTGGAAGCAACATGAAATAACGTTGCTTTATAGTTTCTTATCAAGAAAGGGTGCTAGAAAGTCAACAAATTGAGGTACTTCACTTGACATCTCAACATCCAGTTCTTCAACAAAGCTTCATCCAGCCCAGGACGTAAGGTGTTCTTAGGTGAAATCAAACTTCCATGATGAATTGGTTCACCAAAACCAATAGGTAATAGGCCAAAACCAGTGGGTATTAAGCCACTGGTTTTGGTGAAGTCTTTAAAGGAATAAGTATGCGAAGAGAGAAATCCAAATAGTTAAGACATAGCTTTCTCAGGAAGATGGAGCTATTTAATCTTAGCAAGGGCAGCCGCTCTTCTTTCTGTGTTCTGGAACAAGGCACGAATTAAAGCTTTTACTTCACTGGATGAGAATGCAGCTGCCAAGGGCCCTTTTCCATCTGCCCACCTGTAAAACAAAAAATAAAATTCTATTTCCTATTACATCTCTGAAATATGAGGAAAAATTAAAAATTGCTTATTTGACCCCAAATGCTTACTGTTTTAAAAGGAATTAAAATAAATCCTAGCATCTTCCCCCTACTTTATAATCTCCCATTCAATATCCTTGATCTCTTGTGCTCTTGGCTGTATTTTAGTAACATCATAGCTAGATGAAGAGGTCAAGTAAGAAGATGAAACTGTTATCCCTTATTCTATACTCACTAAGCCCTGTTTGACCACATTCTCATATGGTCAAAATACTTGGGCTCTGTAAATACTTTCAAAAATGAACCACAAGCAACAAATTTTAACTGACTTAAAATAGAAAATACATAAAGAACTCCCATGAATCAATGAGATCACAAACAACCCAACAGAGGAAAAGGTAAAACGCATGAAAGGGCATTTATAATAAAAGAAACCATGAAGAAAAAGATGTGTAGTGTCATTAGAATTTAGGTAAATACAAATTAAAATGACAATAAGCCAGTATTTCACACCAAGTAGATTAAACTCTGATAATACCAACAGCACCAAATACAAGTGAAAATGTGATGCAACAGGATAAACTACAAAATATTTGTATAATGAAATATGATACAGCTATGAAAATTAAATATAGCTGCACACGTCATCGTGAATGAATTTCACAAATATTGAACAAAACCAGCAAGTTATAGAACATTTCATTTAAAAAAGGTTCAAAAGAGGTGAGTCTAAATTTTGTATTGTTTAGGGATATGTGCAAATGCGGTAGAACTATAAAAAAAGGGCAGGGAAATAAATATGACAAAATTCAAAAGGGGTTATCTCTGGAGGGGAACATTTGGAAAGGGATACTCAGCGGTCTTCAAAGGTACTGGTAGTATTTTTCTTAAGCTCGGTAATAGATACATGAACACTTTTTTTTTTCTTGAATCTCAAATGTTATGTATACTGTACTCTTTGACATATGTATATCTTGTAATTTTAAAATGTTTTAGGAGATACAGGACTGGAGACAGTCTCTTCAGTCAAAATTTTTCTCAATTAGATATTATCCTTATGTTTACTGAAATCTCTGTGAAAAATAATCTTCTAAGACAGAAATAAATGTTGAGATATACCATAATCTTTCTTGTAAAAAAGAATGATCACTTTCAAGCTGTAAGAAGGCCCTTGAACAGCTGAAAGAAAAATTATCTGCTGCCCTCTGGAGTCTATTACCGAAAGATATCTTTCTTACCCATTAAATAAAAACATGTTGTAAATAAATCAAAATTTATAATAAATGTAGTTAGAGGTATTTCAACAATTTTTTTTTCCAAGTAGAATCTCATTTACATTGTTTTAGAATGGGCAATATTTGCTGAGGACAATGCAGAAACATTTAGGACAAACGGCCCAATAGGGCATCTGTAATAAGCCAAGCTAACACTGATAGACTAGTAACCTGTCTGTGAATATGGTGCTTAATCATTAAAACTACTGTACTCTGCAGAAAAACTCCTGGTCAATCAAACAATGATTTGATGTTGGGCATATCATACAGATATCAAAGCCAATCTGAAAATGTATCCACTAAAGGTTTACATGGGTAACAATTTCCAGTCAGGTGTCAGAAGACTACCTTTCTTACAAACGCATGATCATTTGTGCAGCATGTCAAAACATGTTCAAGATCAAAATAATATGAAACGGGAAGTCTTTATGTTATTAAATATGAGAAAATGGTAATGAGATCCACACTATTACAGATCACACATAGATCCCCAACTTGCAATGCCCAATATGAAACTCTTTTCTGAGTAACATTAAAAAACAGAAAAGCACTGCTACCAGTAGCACTTTTTTTTGTAGCCATGGAGAGCCATTTGCCTCTATACAAGGACTATACCCACCGATCCCCAATTTCTTGCAGGCTGGCTTGTAGCATCATAATCAGCTCTTTGAATGACATCCATTTTGGCACGTAGACTGGAACTTCTTCTTGATATTTTTTGTTCTTGCTTTCTTCAGACAAAGGTGCAAATACTTGGGGTCCTTCATCCATCACTGTTTTACATAAGGAATATAATCTATCACCATCTTCAGTGGAGATGTCCTGGTTTGGCACAAAGAACAGAAGAATTGGGCCTGCTTAGTTGTAGGAAAAGGGCAGTTCTTACGTACTCGCTGTGTGGAAGGTCAGCTACCATAAGAAAATTGGTTTTCCAACCAATTCACCACACCGCACTCAACATTAGATCAATCAGTTCTCTGACAATACTCTTAAAGTTAGAACAACACAAACTATATTTCAACACACTATCAGTAATTCAGCTTGCTTGCAAGAAAGCGCCCCTTTTTCAGTGGAACATAGCACAGCTTGCTGCAAAGCAGGGAATAACAATTAAGGGTTTTGTCAACCTATGTTCTAGAAGCATCAGCTGGCACATCCAGGCAACATCCAGGGCAGTATGATTGCATATCATACCAATCATAATTGAAAAGTGGCACCTGCACAAAGGTGCATTCCACTTTATATCTTGGGGCCAACATCATCATTCATAATTCACAGAAATGCCAATGGAGAGGCAGTATAGTCCTACTTTCTTATATAAATTAAAAGAGATTAGCAAGTCTCCAGCAAAACAGAATTAAGAACACTGAAAAATTAACAATATGAGTTAAAAATGGAACATGAATAATTTCTTCTGTCATCTGTGTTGACTACAAATGAAAATTCAACATCATTTTCTTTGTGAAGTGACAAGAAATGCATCTCAAGTCTAGTGAGGCATTTAGTGGTCCTTACCTCTAGGGCAGTGATCCTTCCAATGATCTCAGAAATTGCTGTATTGAGTAAAGTTCCCATAGTCTTGCAATATATATTCACTGGCAGGACATCCTGCCACACAATTCCAAGTCTCTTTAGTTGGTGTAGTACCTGTCAAAAAAATACAGCTATGTATCTGGAACAGAGATTGTTGTAACTCACATTTTCCAAATCTACACTTATCAAGTGTATGGATAGAAGAAGATGTGTTATATAAGTTGAAGTGAAGTAATCAAGAATGTATGCTTCTTGAGTATTTAAACTTAGTGATACGCTTAGCTAAGTGTAAAGCAGACTTGTCCTAAGGATAAGACTTATCCGGAGAGAAAACTGCATTTAAAAGACAAATCACTTAGAGAAGAGGGGCATTACAATGAAACTTGAATTTTCCAAATCCATATTCATGTGTCAAACACAAGCTATGGGGCCTCCCTGGTGGCGCAAGGGGTCAAGCACCACACTATGAAGCAATCCACATACTCTGCAGCACGAGTTCGATTCCTGGCCGGCCAGGGAGAAACCCACATGGCGAGGCAGACCTCTCCTGTCGTGCCCGCTGCTCCCCTCAGCAGTGCTTTTGGTCTGTCTGCCTGTTCTGTTCCCCGCTCTGTCTCTGGTGAATCCTCTCACCCCCACCCCGCATCTCTGGCCTGTACCCCAGCTCTTGTATGCATAAATAAATAAATCTTTAAAAAAAGAAAAAACACAAGCTATGACAGATTTAATAGTCACACTATTTGGCTGATGAAAAAATAGCTTCCTGTTGGCTGGGTGGACCAGGAGATGGGAAAGATAACAAACATAACTGTAAAAGCTATCCAGGTTTTCCAATGCAGGGTTTGGGGAATCAACTGATCTACCTGATACATATATTTTGCAACTTAAAAAGCCAGGGAGAAGGGTATCTAAAGATAAAGTACAAATTCCAAAGCTGATAACAGCCCCCGACCTGCCGGACTGCTTTACTTGCTGCAGAATAATTCTCTTCATCGTCCATGTTTGAAAAATTTCTAGCACTTGATAATCTTTCCAGTAGTTCTCCTTTCTGTGCTCGCATTTGAGCCAAAAAACACTCTGTCCCTACGGTGGGAAAACAGAATAAAGAATTTTAAAAGCTGTTCAGTTACACACTGTCAAACCAGGGTGGAAGAAGAAAAACAAGCATGAACCATACACCTGTTCTATTTGAAAGCAACTGTTAGATAATATCATAAAGCTGCCCTAAGGTTACTGGAAACAATCCCTTCCAACACATTAGTCAGTCCCAAATTCACCTGAGAGAGTAAGTCTTTTTCAAAAATTTGTCCAGTCAGATAAGAAAAATTACTTATATACACAAGATTATTTTTTTAGAATATCTATCACTTAAAGAAAAAGTCAGGAATTGAAAAGCTAAGTAAATAATATTCTCTGCTTTTCTTAGGCTATCATTATAGTAAACATAATGATTTAGCTCATATTTCACTTCTTTTGACTTTTAATAATTCCAAGTAAAGTGAAGGGAGGTAGAAGAGGGGAAAGTTGTCTTGAGGTTTTGCAAAGGAAGCAGCACTGCTAACATATCTGTCACAATACGAATTTTATTATGGGTGATTCTACTGACATAGTTAATTTGGTAAATTCACTGCATACCAGCCACCCATTTTAGAACTCTTCTGTACAATATCAAAAGTAATGCTTCCACAAAGATTGTACTCAAGTAAGTAACTGGGCATATTTGCAAATTAAATTCCCTCCAACTTGCCTGAACTACCATCTAATTTCTAACAACCTCATTAATAAATTACAAAGATACAAGAGGTTGAGAAGCTGCATAATCAATATGCTTTCCTAAATTTAAGGTATTAGTTTATTAGTTACCAAGTCTCCTGAAGCTAGGAACAAGATCCACAAAAGTAGTTGTGCCATCACAAAGAATGGGGGCAAGTCGTAATCTGAACTGATGTCCCAGGGTCAGCAAGTGATGAGCAATATACATGCAGTTGTTGTGGTGAATGGCAGCCAACTGGGGCAATTTTTGAAGGTTCTCCCTACATGGAGTAGAAACAGAAAGAAATCACCTGTTATTAAATTCAGAGTTAATAAAAAGTTACTACTCTTTAAATGTATTTGTTGGCTTCAATAACTGTCTACTGTATAAATGCTATACATAACAAGAAGCACCCTTACTACCCTGACTCCCAGTCAAGAAGGTTGCTTTGCTTGAACATGACCTGATCCTTAGAAGCTATCACAGTGATTAACCACAGAGTAAGGGAATCAAGATGTTTGCCTGTCTCAACTCTTTGTACTAGAAACCTAGCAGAGCTCTACATAATTCCTTCAAATTTAGCACTGATAAAGTCTATAGAAACAGATTTATTTCCCTTTTCTCCAAATTTCTATTTCATTTATATAACAAAGCCCTTAACCTAATTTCTAATTCACTAATTTTCAAAGCTAGCTATAGATTAGTCACTTGGGAGATTTTATGACATACAAATATTTACATTTAACCCATAACAAATTAAATCACAATCTCTGAGTAAAGTCAGGACATTTATGTTTTATTTTTTTATTTTTTTTTAAAAGAGGCATGTATTTTTATTTATTTGTTTGTTTATTTATTTGTTTGTTTGTTTATACATGCACTGGGTACAGTCAGAAGCGCGGGAGGGTGAGAGAATTCACCAGAGCCAGAGCGGGGAGCAGAGCAGGCAGAAGGACCGAAGTACACTGCTGAGGGGAGCAGCGGGCAGCAGGAGAGGTCTGCGCGCCATGTGGGACCCTCCTCTGGTGGCCGGGGAGCAGCCGGGGATCGAACCGGCGCCGCAGAGGCCGCGGGGAGCTTCGCAACCCAGCGCTCAAACGCTGCACCACCGGGGAGGCCCAGGACATTTATGTTTTAAAATATTTCCAGGTGATTTTAATTTTCATCCAGGATTGAAAAATCACTTCTCTAATTCTTCCACACTTATTAGTCATTCTACCCAGCTTGGACACAATGGGAATTGGGATGAAAATTTTTCTTTTATTTCTGCTATAAATCCATAGCTGTCATTCAATTAATACTTCAGGCTAGAATATACAGGGATGGAATTTAATAATCCAAGATAGTTATCCTCATTCTTTTCTGCACATCAGAAGCATTTATGAGACTTAAAAAAAAAAAAAAACCAAAAAAAAAAAAAAAACCCACAAATGCCTAGCTCTTACATCAGACATCAAATTCAAAATCTATAGGGGCAGGACTTAGATAAATATATGTACATATTCCTAAACATTTGTTAACTGATTTCAAAGTGCTGAGAACCATATTCTAGGACAGTAGTTCTCAAAGTGTAGTCCCCTAACAAGCAACATTAGCACCATCTGAAAATTTGTTTAAAATCTAGGCCTTATCCCAGACCTACTGAATCAGAAAAATCCAGCACACAAAATCCAGCAATCTGATTTTTAACAGGGCTTCCATGTGATTGTGGTACGTACTCAAATTTATAAACCATGGCGGGGAAGGTCCAGCACAAAGTTGTAAGGTTAGACAAAGGAGAAAGAGGCAACTCTAACTCTACAGCAGTATGAAAATGTTTCTACACCTAGTATCGCTCTGAATCTTTAAGGCTGTTAACTGATCCACAGATGCTATTTTCTTTCACAGTGACTAAGCAGAAAGAGAAATAAGAACTTTAAACCACAGCAAAGAGAATATAAAAAAAAGTTGACAATAAGTTCTCTTTATAACAAAACAATAGATGGCTTATTTAAAAACATCTCAACTGTTGAAAAATCTGAGCTAAAAAATAGTTAATTTTTACTGTTTTTTTCCCTTGGAAACTAGAGTCATTGGCTATGGAATAGCTATATTGACTATTGACTTACTATTAAAAACATTTATAAAACGCATCCAAAACACTTAATTTGGATTACAGAGAAAATTCCTGGAGCCTCACAGTTATAAGTAATTTTTCATTTAATATCAAAAAAGGAAAACTTAAAGTCTAAGACATAGGTAAATATAGCTAGAAAGAAAGGCTGATCACACTCAACAGTTAAAGAACCACCACGTGGTATTAGGTCTGCAAGAATGTGAATGCCAAGGGAAAATGTACTATGTTTAATTAAGTAAGGCAGCTCTGAAAATACCTAGGATCAAGAACAGGGTAAAGGTCTTTTAAGTTTTTAAATTTTTGCTCCCTTACTATATTGCAACTTTATAATGTCCTTATTAATGTGTTAGTAAATGACCAATGTCCTTTAAACATGTATTTTAAAATGGTTTAATGCATTTTATTGTGAATTGTAGTAACCAAAAGATCTTTGGTGAAATACAAAATTACCACTTTTAATCTGACCTGCCAACATTTAGACATACAGTATTACACAGTAATCAGACACAGTCACACTCACTTGTGATACGTTGGTACGACATCATGGAACAAATGGAAGATATTCCTCACAGAGTAGAAAAGTTGAACAGCACTAGGAGAAAAAAAGTTCGAATAGAAATACACAAGGATATATCAGAAATAAGAACAAAAAACAATTAAATGCACCATAAGTAAGAGCCATCGGCTAAAACTATAGTTGGAGGGAATACATGTGCTTTGGTCACTGCTGCAAATAGTATTAATTTAAATGGAAATATATTCTCAACCAGTATTTACTAACTAGACTGTAGTCCTTAAAACCTAAATCCATTAATAATTTAAAGAATAGCAGCATTCAACACCAAAGCCTCTTTTCCATTTACCAATTTGGGTTGGGCCAGTACCCAGAGTATCCCCTCAGTAACAAATGGAGCTAAGCCTCAAGCAAATGTCACCTACTCACTGACGCATTCTGCAAAGGGCACAGTATCAATAAAGGCATTCACTTGGTTCTTTTAGAATTAGCCTGACTTTCAGCTTTCACCTTTACTCCTTACCCCAATGCAAGATGAATCAACATTTCTAGGATAGATTCTAACCTCATATTTTGCCCTTTAAGTCTGGCCTTAGAATGCCTAAAGATTATTATTAAAAATGCACTAAGGCAAATATAAGGTTTATGTAGCTTACTTCTACATAAGAATACCTTAAACTATGTACCTTGAACAAGTCACAAGCAATTTCACAAATATTTAGAAAATTAGGTCACGGCATCCCTATACTCCCAAACACTATTATTACTTGGTTATTATGATACTTAATTATTTTATTTTTGCTGCATATGTTGCTGTTCAAGCTTTAAGAATGTGGAAGTGGGTTTGTTGTACTACATTGTTATGTTTATGTGTGTTCTCTTAAAAACTATTTCTTTTAGTGGAAAATCTGTTCATATACATTCAGTACTCAAAAATATTGCTTGATGTTCTGTGTTCTCAAAAATTTTAGGAAGGAAACATGGCCTTGCATTCCTAATCTCTGATCTGGTACAATTTAGGTGAATGCCATGGAAAGAAATAGTCTCTCCTGTATTTATTTTGCCAAAGAAGTACATACTTCCTTGCACATGTACTTTTTTCCAACTTAGATTTAAAATTAGATGAGCTTGTGAAATAATGATTCATTAAAGTCATGGAAGTATCCTGGCAAACATGTTCTTCCCAGAGCTAAATAAAATAAAGTGATCTGTTTGCATGTGGAGATAAAAACTGTAACTCTGAAAGCCCATCTGAAGATATAAACTGATTAAGCAGTCCTAACTGAATTTTCTTCTCCTATGAATATGAGATATAAAAATCTGCTACACTTAGATTCAAACTAAAGAAATTTTTATAAATCTGTACAACAAACAAGGGATATAACCTGCCACTTTCTACTTAGTTTAGAACAGGACTAGGGAGGGTGTTTATTAAACAAAGAGAGAGCTGTACAACATGTGGAAGAATATAAGGTACTCCAACTACAATGTAGATTAGGAGAAATCACTTTGAAAGGATGAAATCTTTGGTATACTGCATTCTTTTGTCCTACCTTTGGCTACCCAGCAAAATTATTATTGCTTGGAAAATAAATGTTTAAATATATAAATTAGCTAAAATATAAATTAGCTAAAGCCAGGCAAAATCAAAGTTAAGCTAAAGGGCTAGATAAGGCCAGAGCACAGTATAACTATTACCACCTCCACCAATAATAATAAACATGTGAGCATTAATCACTTTCCAGATATTATTCTTGCTCCATTCAAGTCAAGAGTAAACAAAAGAATTAAAGAACTTTTCATTAAAAAGTGATTAAAAACTTTTTCCACCCACACACATGCTTCTATTTCTTATTCCTTGTAAAATGAATGTCACTGTAAATATCGTTGTTCTGTTTTTCTAGAAAAAACAAATGAACTAATGGGGTAAGACCCAAAGCATTGCAGCTAATTTTCCTAATATCTACTTTAGATATGTATTTAGTCAAGTTAGTGCATTTCCAGATGAGTTAGAATTCATACCACTGATCACTGCTGGTTGTTGCCTCTAGTAAAGTCTGATAAGCAAGTTCCATTAACTTCTTTACAGATTCACTGATGCGGCATGTTGGCAAAGAAAAGGAATGTTGGTCCAATGTATTTTCAGGTTCTAAATTCATAACTTTGTTATACTGAGTTGTGGACACTTTCTGTACTTCTAGCTTGTTATCTTCATCAGGACTGGGTAAGTCTGGTACAGTTATCTTACAATCAGGAGTAATCTAGGATACAAAAACAAAAAAGACATTGTCATCAGAGTAATTCAAATACAAAAATGTAGTAAGGAATAAGATACTAACTACTTGTATGAAAAACTGTACCTCTACAGAGTAATTAAAAGATTAAACATGTTAGTGTTCTAAAGATGGTTCAATCTTGGGTGAGAGCATGTTATAAATAATCCCCCCCTTTTTTTTTTTTTTTTTTTTTTTTTAAATAGAGGCATGTTTTATTTATTTATTTGTTTGTTTTGTTTATACATGCACTGGGTACAGTCAGAAGCGCGGGAGGGTGAGAGAATTCACCAGAGCCAGAGCAGGGAGCAGAGCAGGCAGAAGGACCGAAGTACACTGCTGAGGGGAGCAGCGGGCGGCAGGAGAGGTCTGCGCGCCATGTGGGACCCTCCTCTGGTGGCCGGGGAGCAGCCGAGGATCGAACCGGCGCCGCAGAGGCTGCAGGCAGCTTCGCAACCCAATGCTCAACCGCTGCGCCACCGGGGAGGCCCCCCCCTTTTTTTTTAAAGATTTATTTACTTATGCATATAAGAGCCGGGGCACAGGCCAGAGACGTGAGGGGTGAGAGGATTCACCAGAGACAGAGTGGGGAACAGAACAGGCAGACTGACTGAAGTACATTGCTGAGGGGAGCAGCGGGCAAAACAGGAGAGGTATGCTTTGCCATGTGGTTTCTCCCTGGCCGGCTGGGGATCAAACTGGTGCTGCAGAGGCTTCGGATTGCTTCACAGTGCAGTGCTTTACACCTTGCGCCACCAGGGAGGCCAGTAATCCCCTTAGTGTGTAATTCTGTCAAGCATTTTTAATCTTACTGGAAATTAACAAAGCTGGGAAATTGGCCCAAGTAAATGATTCCAAAATCATTTTTTTCAGGCTAGTATAATTTTGTGTTCCACTGTCTTTAAACAAATTATTTTCTACCAAGAACATAAGCTGGCTTAGTCAGAGAAATTAATGCATTCAGGCTAGCACATCCTTCCTCAGCAAAAACTTCAAATTCAAACCAAAAAAGGCTTATGCAGAATGAAAATTTCCCAATTTGGTCAATGATAGATGAAAGAACACTAAGCTGCAAGTCTAGAAACATCAGTATTTTTGACCCAAATTTTAACAAAATCTAGACATCAATTTTTTTTTTACTGTAAAAGGGAGAAACTGTACTATAATGATGACATTTCAAACTCTGCTTCTCAAAGTTGCTTTCAGGAGCCTCAGAGAGTTATAACAGGTGTAAGCAGCAGGTTGCCTACACTCCCCATAAGAATAACTGCTTTACACATACTGCACCTGTACAGAAAATTTCTAATAGAAAAAGTTTCAGGGGGAGGGAGAGGCAGAAGGAGGGAGGAAGGAGCACAGGGGACTGTGGTGATGGTGCACTGGTGAATTGGTGGATGAAATTCTAATGGGGACTACACCTGAGGGGAAAAAAAGCAAACATTGTTTAAAAATGAACAATGATGTAAAATATATATATAAATTAATTTAATTTAATTTAAAAAAGGAAAAAGTTTCAAGCCTAATAAGTAATCAGACCCACATTCCTAATCTGCAAAATGTTATAATATATCTACTTCATAGCAGTATTATGGAATATAAATGAGAATTTTAATGTCAAGAATATGACAGCTGAATATATGATTAAGATGAAATGCAGATGAAAAAACATAGAAATGATTAGAAAAATGCTAATGTTTATCTTATAAATAATGGACCCAAATATACAGGACTCAAAAAATGGCTGTAATGAGGGCGAAGGAAGCTAAGATGGAAGAATGCAAGATCTGATACAGTACCTACAAGGTTGTATAAGGTTAAAGTGTAACAACAAAACAAAACTTTAGATCATTTTGGAAAAATTGTGGGTAAAGATATTGTTTTAGTGATAATTTAGATGAAGATCATGAAAGACAAATAAGCTGATAATGATTTTTTTTAAAAAAGAGAGGCGTTTTTTCCCCAAAGTTGAGCAGTTTAGAAGATCTAATTCCAGGGTCTGGATTCCAAGGGAAAGAACCATACTAGAATCTAGAGCAGTGGTTCTCAAGCAGAGACAATGTTGTCCTCCAAGAGAGATTTAGCAATGTCTGGAGACACTTTTAGTTACCTTAACTGGGAGAAATGCTACTGGAATCTACTGGGTAGAAGTGAGGAATGCTACCAAACATGGTACAGGAAGTCCCCACAGCAAAGAATTACGTGGCCCCAAGTGTCAGTGCACCACTACTGAAAAAAAAACAACCTAGAGGAGACTACATCATTAGGATTTGAGTACCTGGGCAATTTTACAGAATGTGAGAACTAGCTAAGTAGGAAAAGCTATGTTTAGCCAGTCCAATTCCATCACATTACAAAAGAATAAAGTGGGGTCCGACAGTTAAAAGACTTAACCCAGAATCATAGAGCAATCCAGTAATAATCCTATTTACATCAAGGAGTTATGATAAATTTGAGTGAGATATTTATTTATTTATTTGTTTAGCAAATATTTACTGAGCACTAAGCACACAGTATACAACAGACACCGTCTTGGTGCTGGAGATATAATGGTAAACAAAACAGTCACTGAAACTCCAAAACCTGCCCTCATGGAGCTTATTTTCTAGAAAGGGAGAAATGATAACTAATTCGGACAGAGTGTTGGTTGATGAGATAATTAGAAAAATACACCAAGGAAATGGAACAGGACCTAAGAGATCACAATTTTGAAAAGAGTCATCAGGAAAAAGAGTAAGTCAAGTGAGTGTATGTGGTTAAGAAATGTTTCAAGCAGAGGGAACAAGAGGTTAAAAGGCTCTGCAACCAAGTGGGCCTAGCAAATTCAGAGAACAGCAATAAGGGCAGGATACCTGGAGCAGAGGGACTAAAGACAAATATAATAGAAGACGGAGTCACAGAGGCAATGGGGACAATTACATATAAGGCTTTGGATGCCACCATCTCTAAATGTGAAGGGAAGCCACTGGATTTTGTGCACAAGAGTGACATAACCAGGTGATATCATGTTAAAATGAAAAGACAAGGAAAAAACAACAACAGCACAGTTCTAGGTACTGAAATAGATTTCAGCTTTCTCCACAATCCAAAATTACCTTCAAGTGTGTTAATATCCATGCAGTTCAAATGGCTAATTAAATAGCTTGCTGAAATGAACACAAATAGGAAAATGAGCGATGTCAAAAGAAGGGAAAGAGAGAGGAAGAGCCTAGACACTTCAGTAATAGCAGAAAAATGGCTGAGGCATTTTCTATTAAGGATTACCTTAGTCTTTGCCTTTCTTTAATCTAAGTAAATCTAATTAATCTGACACTTGCAACATATTATTTAATATATGTAAGATACAGAAAATAAATAAAAAATGTATCCAGTTAACTATATTAAGAGTAAATTGTGCTCAGTACAAATTAGTGTGTTGATTTAGCAGGTAACTTTGTATACCCTATATAGATCACATCCTTTTATGATAGCTTCAAAATTAGTCCCACTATTAGTCTAAGATGGAGTCAACATTTTCACAATAGGATATAATCTCTGGACATAATAAAAAAGTCCAATTATACCTGTAACAAGACTGTTCATTAAAAACTCAAGTTACAAAGTTGAGAAAAATCTACAGGATGACATACCAATTTCAACAACAGTAATCCATTATTTAAATGTAGGATTTTTTTCAATTTACACAATGATTTCAAGTGTAATGTCTTATTTGGAACTCTTTAACACCCAATTAAGGAGACAGCTATTAAAATCACTTTAAAGATGGTAGAGGAGAGATGTTACACTCACAAAATGCTAAAAAAAATATGTAAACCAACAGTACATTAATAAAATTTAATAAAAATAAACAAAGATGAAACAACTGCTATTTAAGAGATTAGTAACTTGCCTCCATGGTTTCAACAACTGTCATGGTCTCTTCTACTCTACCACAAACATCTCAAAAATGTGCTAGTTCCTAAATACAATGTAATACTATAACCTGATACCTTCACAGTATTGTGAATTTCAGAGGTCATTAGGTTTCTAGCTGTCACAATCACATCCTGACACTTCTTGTTAGCAAAATGACAATTGACATTTCGGGCATATTTTAGCAAATCAGTAGTATCTCCTTTTAAAAATTTCATCTCCTTTAGGGCACTTTCAAATTCTTCAGTGGACTGTATGATCTGAGGAAAAAATATAAGGAAAAAATTATGTGCACACATTCCATTTCAACATTAAAATTTCAAATCCAATGTACAGAAAAGAAAAAAGGATCAACTGGTCATTTAAGTTTAAGAACAGGCATAATTGGGCCTCTCCGGTGGCACAGCAGGTTAAGCACAGAGCTGTGCAGCTGTCCACAGCCTCTGCAGCACGGGTTCAATTCCCGGCCAGCCAGTGAGATACCCGCATGGCATGGCAGACCTCTCCTATCTCGCCCACTGTTCCCCTCAGCAGTATATTTCGGTCCAACTGCCTGTTTTGCCCCCCGCTTTGTCTCTGGTGAACCCTCTCACCCTCCCACACCTCTGGCCTGTACCCCAGTTCTTCTATATTAAAAAAAAATCGTTAAAAAAAATCCATAATTACTGCGTATAAAAATATATGCTTTATTTGCAGCAACATGGATGGCGCTGGAAGGGATCATGCTCAGCGAAATGAGCCAGAAAGAAAAAGAAAAATACCGGATGGTCTCACTCATAGCAGGAATCTAGAAAACTTAAATAAGGGACCAGGAAAATGAATAACTATAAGAAAGTGAAAATCAAAATCAACAAAAATCTATGAACCAGAGACACTTTTGGGGGGGTGGGTGGCGGGAGGGGAGGGATTGGGGTCAAAATGGAGGGGTTGCAATTGTATGGGGAATATAAAAATAAAATTTATTATTAAAAAAAATAAAATAAAAAAATAAAAATATATGCTTTATCAGTCCTAAATTCATTAAGAAGAATATCTTCAACAGAAATTTCTGGCTTCACTGACTAGGGGTGGAAAGATTTTTAACATAAATGTTTATTTCAGTGTTAAACACAAAAAAGCAGCAAAATAAGTGTGACATAGTAGCTACTATATCTGATACAAGTACACAATTGCTTTTTAAAGTATCTTAGTAAAGAAAATACACTTAATAAGAAAGTATACATCTCCAAACAAAAGCTACTCTTATTTAGAATTTTCCTACAGATGTAGCAAAAGAACAAAGGATTTCCAAGGAAAATCAAAAGATACCAAGAGGAACTTATAGTCTCTTAAAACCTGTGATATTTCTGTTCTTACCTCTTCATACTGCTGTAACTTGCTGCTATTTGTTGGGATAGAATAAACCAAACAGTTTTTAATGAGGCACTCAGACAAGTCCTCCCAGATCATGTCACCAAGCATCTCAGCCAAAGTGATCTTAGGTGTTTTTTCATTTTCTAGGTCATTATTAAGAGGTAAATCTGAATTCAAAAGAAAAAGTTTTAAACAAGAAACCATTCATGTTATGGATATATTCTTAAGTTCCCTAGTTGTCTAGAATTCTTTAATTTTTAAGATGATAGGGAAAACAACACAGATTATTCTACAGCTACCTCAACTGACTGCATGGGGTAAAACAAGACATACAATTATTATTTTATTTTCACTGCTCAAAAGAGCTGACTGCATTGTATTACTGCCTGTACTCTGTAACAATAAGATATTACACCAACTACATTAAAATAATCTACTGCTATCTACTGATCCTCTTCTATGACAAGCATTCAGAAGTTCTGCATACCAACCTGAAACTAGGTTACAATAAAATCTCAGTTCATTAATATTGAATAAACATACTTTTTCATCTCTGCATAATATCTGAGTATCCTAAGTAAAATATCAATAAACACCTTACATTACAGAGTAATATCTAGCCTACCAAACAGAATTCTTAAATATTTATTCTATAGTATATCTTCTAGTGTGTGTTTTTATAACACATTTTGAGGGAGTTATATTTAGAATAAACTATTAATTAAATAATAAGTATGAAAAAGTTACTATAAAAGAGATCAGCTATTTTGAACCTGTTTCTAATTCACCAAAGAAGAACTTAGGGGTTAAGAATCTTAGAGTAATCATATTATCTCATAGACTTGAACCTTGAGATTCCTTACAATGTTTAAGTCTAGGATTGCACTGTCCAATAGAGTAACCACAAGCCACATTTTGCTACTGAGAACTTGCAATGTGGCTAAATGTGATAAAGGAATACATTTTCTAAATTTATAACTAACTTAAATTTAAACTGAAACCAAGGAAGTGTGGTTATAAAGGGTAGGCACAAGTGAGTCTTGCAGTGATACAATAGTTCTGTATCTTGATTATGTTGACGGTTACATGATCTATACATGTGACAAAAGTGCCTGGAACTATCACACACACACACACAAATGACAGCGGGCAAACCTAGTGAAATTTGAACTCTGTGACTTATACCAAAGGCAATTTTCTGGCTTTCATATTGTTCTATAGTTACACATGTTAACAGTGGGGAAAACTGGATGAAGGGTTCTTGGGACTTTGGTACATATTTTCTAATAAAAAATTTAAATAAACAAGTGTGAAATATTTCTGTAAAACACAAGCTTACTTTTTGGGTAAGATTATATTTAATTTTAATCATTGTGCCATGTAAGGTATGCTGTATGGTAGTGCTCATGTCAGGCATGTACATCATTTCTAGAGTTTCACACAAACATCACTGATCCATTTGGTGTAAACAGATTCACCTACATGATTTTTTCCCCTATGCACTAATGTACCATCGTAAGCTGTGTATTGCACAAATAACAGATATCTATATAAGCTGTAAAAGTAGTTAAATTGAAATGCTTATTTGATTATATAATTATTTTTCTAGGTTAAAAAAGTTATGACAAATTTTTAAATTTAAAAGAATCAAATGAAGATGCAGAAGCCAGCTGGAGCCCTGGAATAGTAGAGGGAAAAGGGGCTGGAAGAAAATCTGCCACATATTTCACAATGAATGGCAGATGTGATGTGCTAAAACAGCAAAACAAAAACCTGCCTGTTAGCAGGGAATTTTTTCTTTTTTTAAGGATAATAAAGGGAACAATATGAAGAGACATTTTCAGCAAGTGTATTTGGAATTTGTCAAGCTCTCTCAAAAAGGATTTGGGAAAACTAGTCATCTGAAATGACAAATCCCAATCAAAAAATGTGATTTCAACAGGATCTGAGCTTGTAACTTTGGCCAGCTACAGAATGACTTGGATTCTTGTGCTCACATGCACGTGTACACACACACATCATTTTTATGTATCGACAGATGGTAAGAGCAATCATTCGTTACAGAAACTTAGAAAATAATGAGGAAACCATTTTTTAAATGTGAACAAGCCTTAATTAAGTCACTATCGGATATTAGCTATAGTGTACCAATATTTCTCATACTATCAAATGTCAATTGCTTCAACTTCTAAAAAAATCACCAATACTTTTCTTTAGCTTTAGAAAAGACACTGAGTACATTCTGTATAAAAGCACATCTAAATTTTCAAAGAAATAATGTCAGTACACAGTCTAAAAATTTGAATTTGCAATGCAGTATTTTTTAATCTCTTAAGAATTGTATGATTAGACATAGCCAAGTTATGGAAACAACCCAAGTGCCCAAGGACAGATGAATGAATTAAGATGTGATACATATACACAATGGACTACTACTCAGCAATAAAAAAAAAAAAGATGAATTCTTTCTTGCCATTTGTGATAATGGATAGAACTGGAGGGGATAAGAATGAGCAAAATAAGTCGGAAGGAAAAAGACAAATACCAGATAGCTGCACTTATATGTGGAATAAAGAGAAACAAAACAAAGGGTCAGTCAAAACTAAACCAATAACAAACCCCAAAAATCTATGAGTCAAACTAAGGCTACAAGAGGGGTTGAAGGATGGTGGAGAGCAATGTGTGGAGGGGGCACAATGGACTATGGCAGAGGACTATGGGTACCTTGGTGGTGGGAGTGGCTGCAACATACATTCCAAGAGGTGTGATACTATACCTCTGAATCACATGTAAAACAATACCACCTCAATGAAATGAAATTTTTTTAAAAAACCTAATGACTTGAAAAAAAGTTTTAAAATTTTCTTTTTACCCTTTTCCCTCCAAACTGTGCTAGAAATAAATTTTACATATATTATATGATATGTAAGTATATATATTTTGAAAATTAAGAAATTAACTAAGGTTTAAATGCAGCAAAATTAAAGAACCTCACTTTTCCTTCCATGAAATAAATTGGGAAAACAAAGTGAATGTCATTAGTAAGAATAGGATTATATTGACAAAAAAGAATTTCAGCTTGACATAGAAAATTCATGTTTATCATAACAGTGTTCCAATGCTGTATTAAGCAAAAAGTGCACATTTATTGGAACTTTAATAAAGACATTCATGGCATGATACATATTTGTGTTTTTCTGAAACAGAATCTATAAAATGTACCATGAATATAGTTGCTAAAGTGATTCAGGATGTATATCTATATATAAGCAAACACTATAAATTATCACTGTTCATGCATCTACTGAAAGAAATATATGACAATAAATATACATCAAAGAGAACACAGAATTCCTAAATTGTTGTTTGACTGTCTTCTTCACTGCTAAAGATAATAATCTCTGGATCAAAAGGAAAGGAAATAGCTGTAACAAAAGCAGTTATTTAGACCTTGTCATGGTCTAAAATGCATACTAGAGATAAGCAGAGCACCTAGCAAAAACAACTGAGTTCTGCTCGGAATAGCCAAGGTACTAATAGTATCTTTTTTATTACAAATAAAAACGTGCTGATCAAGTATTAATTTAAATGGAGGAATGTCAAACCAGAAAAAGGTTTCTACCAGAATTTCCCAAAATACCCTGAACTTTAGCCTTCTCTCAGATAACAGCATCATCAATGACTTAGATTATACTAGAAGAAAACAGATATGCATGCAACATGAAATAGAAAGGATAGTAAACACATTGCAAAATTTTCTTAATTAAAATTTAACAAAGATTTTTAGCTCCAAAAAATCAAGTTCAAGATGGGAAAGCAGCAATTTGTGATAAGTATGACAAAGGATTTTCATTAACATTAAATTCATTGACTTAACTGTGGACAACAGCCTTTGACAACATTAAAATAAGCATGAAACTGAGAATGAGGAACATGCAAGTTCCGTATTACTCTGAATCAGTTCAGACTATGCCTGGAAAGATTTGTTCTGTAATATGTTTACAGAAGAACAATGAAGATGAGGGGAACTTAAAATTATGCCATAGAAGAAAAACCCAAGTATGGTTACACTGATGTTAAAATGTATGGGGAAAAGTAATAGCTACTGTAGAGAATCAAGTCTATCAGATGTAGCAGGAATTAGATCTGTTCTATATACTCCATACGGTAGAAATAGCATCAATAAAGCAGACATTCCAGGGGAATCTATTTTGAACAAGTTTTTAAAATAACTATCCTAAAGAGTTCATTTAAAAATGGGCATTTGGGTACTATTATGTAATATATATATAGGAGACATACAAAAATTCCAAAGTACTCAGAATTGCCCAGAGGTAGTATGGACTGCCTCAAAAGGAAGTTCCTCTCACTAAAGATACTAATATTGGTTATATGATCAATTAATAGGAGTGCTACAGAGAAGATTCAAGCATCAAAGACATGTGAATTGAAAAACTTTTCTGGGACCTTCCAATCTTGGGAAACTTTGTTTATAATTTTACTTCTATCTAATGAAAATAGAAGTGTATTATTTCCCCAAGTGAAGGGGAAAAAAACTACCTTGGACTTTTGCAGCTTATGCAAGTCTTAAGATTGTTTTCTCCTCTGCTGTCAAAACTAGAAAAATTTTTGCTTTACATATAAATTATTTATGTCAAGAGAACTACACACCTACCAGGGATACATACAAATAAAAGCAGCATTACTTTCTCATTTTCTCACAGCAAGAATGTTTGATTTGACTACTTAATAAAGAAAAAAAAAAGGTAAGTCAAATAGACCAAAAAAAGAAAGATAGATACACATATAGATGATAGACAGACAGAGAGAAAAAACTTTATTTTTAATAGCATGACAACCAATAAAAAAAAGATTCAAGTAAAATGGAAAAACAGAAACTGGTAATTTTAAGTGTGACTACACAAACATCTAACCAAAAGTCTGAGTTGGAGTGTAATTCTTTCCTATGTTAAACCTAGTTTGCTTGCATCAGGTTAATGGGGATTTTCCCATTGAAGTGTGTAAAAGTCTCAAAATGTGATGTGACTTGAAGTCGAGCAAGAGATGGGGATCCTAGAATGTGAGTGAATATTACAAATCCTGAACCTGGGGTACCCACTAATGACCGTACCTGTTAACATATAACAAAAGGGAAGCAAAATAGAGCAAGAAACAGAAAGGCAACTACGGTGCTGCTATGGTGTATCACAGTCCCCTCACTCACACTGTGGGGGTTTTTACCACCCGTAAAATAAGATTTACTTTAAAATAAAAAACACGGACTTTTCCAAAATATAAAAGCACTGCCTTGAGGATACATACCTAGAAGTTGCTTCTGTAGCACTTCCAGTACCAGTCTTATCTTTGAAAAAACTTCAGATGGTGGTGGATGTTCTAAGTCAGTCATCACAGATTCAAAATGAATGGTAATGATATTGGGCTGAGTTTCTATCACAGCATAAAGGGATGGGCAAGAGGTCAGAGGCCTAAGGATATACTTCAGCAGCATTTGACCTGAAAAATCACAAAAACACTCATCAAAATCCAACACAAGAAACTTAAAAGCGTATCAAAAAAGGGAAAAAGACCTCTCACCCTAACAACAAAAACACATATACCATGACATTGCACATCACCCATTATATGCTATGCTTTCCCACCAAAGGTGCACAGACCTTGTCTGCAAATTTTTATTTAAATACTTCAAAAAATCAAATAAAATAGCAGCAGCCAGTTTAAAAGGAGAGAAAGTAATTCAAGACCATAATAAAAAGGGTTATACTTATCACAATTCCATTTGATGAGACATGATGTCAAGACCTATGATCCATCACTGACAGCATCCAGAGAATATTTTATAATTGCTTCTGGATTAAACACTGGACCTTCTGAGACTTTATGCAAATGAAACAAGTAGTAGGCCTTACCAAATGATTTAAGCTTGGTATGTAGCTCCCCAAGAATAGAAAATGCCAAAAGAACAGAACTAATTGGAGGCACAGGAGTCTTCTCTTCTTTTTGAGATTGCTCCGTATATAAATGAAGTTCTGTTTGTAGGCAAGATTCCAAGTTGTTGGTATCTAAGCAAAAGGGGAAAAATATCAGCTCTCAGCAACACAAGGTGTTCTAACTTCTATTCTTCAGAGCCCAGTCCCTATTGAGATTCCTAAATATGTGGCTTAATTACAATATACTTCCAGTGCGCCTAAATACTAATTATTACATACATGTCCCTTGGCATCACTTTAAAATGGAAAGGCTTTTTTCCTTATCTTCAAAGAATCAAATAAAGTACAAAAGCAAGATAATGCCTAAAGTAATGTTTATTAAATATGAACTGAATGACTGAAGAAAGGGAAGGAGAGAAAATTGAGATCCCAGTTGCACTTAAGGCTTCCTCACCAATTAAAGAGAAACTTGCCAATCAAGTTTATCAGGAAGGGTATGTTATATCAAAGAATTAATATACTGGGCCTCACTGGTGGCACAAGGGGTTAAGCACCGCACTGTGAAGCAATCTACAGCCTCAGCAGCATGAGTTCGATCCCCAGCCGGCCAGGGAGCAACCCACATGGCACAGCAGACCTCTCCTGTCTCGCCCGCTGCTCCCCTCAGCAGTGTATTTCAGTCAGTCTGCCTGTTCTGCTCCCCACTCTGTCTCTGGTGAATCCTCTCACCCCTGTATCTCCAGCCTATACCCCGGCTCTTGTGTACATAAATAAATGAATCTTTAAAAAATAAATAATTAATTAATACACCCATTATCGTCTCTTTTTTATAATCTAATTGGAAGTAAAAACTAAAATTTTCTATATTATTTCCTTCAAATACCTACAATACGTACAGGTGTGTGTTGTGTACACATATGCATATATAATGTATTTGGAGGCCAAAATGGTTGTGGGAAAGGTGGGGGGGGGTTGTGGGAAAGGTGGGGCGTTTTCCCTCAAATAGACTAAACTTTACAACTCAGTGTTAGAAATCACACCACATGTATGGAATGTCTTTACACACATCCTCAGAGGTTATATTTTGTGTAAACAGGGTATCAGGTGGGCTCATACTCATAGGTGTGCAGAGGGGCTGAGAGCCCAGTAATACAATTCAAAATCAGGATCCTATTTCTTCAACTGGCAAAGCACCCCCTATCTCATGATTTGTCACCATTTTTCTCCAAGGACTGAAAAAAATTGAACCAAACCACTGTCCCATTGGCCACCAATTTTCTGTCCTCAACAAGAGAAAGTTAAGAACAGCTTTTTAAAATAAGCTTTCTAGGCAGGATAAAGTGCCAGAATTAGGGCGACTAGAAATGGGTACATGCTACAAGAGTGGAAACCGTGTGGTCTGAAATTACTACCACCTCTACCACATGGGCCCACCCACCAGATAGATGTAAGGGAAGTAGGGACACTTTAGGGACTCAGATGAGGTAATCCTAACAAAAATTTTACTTAACATGAGAACTCAATGTCGACTCGGGAGATTAACAAATGAAACCTTCTCATCTATCAATATAAAATTGTTACCATATATACAAAAGCCAAATGAGTTCAGGCAGATGAAGCAAAAATTCTACCACAGGCCAGCAGTACCTTTTGATGGTGGGAACTTCCATACAATCAGTTTCTGCCACTCTTCTCCAAGGTGATAAAGTATGTTCTGTTTCTGTATAGTGAACTCCATGCTGAGAGATTTCAAGATTTTTAAATCAAAGCATTTTCTAGATTTTACTAACTTCAAACATTTTTGTGCCTGGAGGTGGAATGAAATCACTGTTAAACATTCCATCTGAACTCAGGGCAATTAGAATATATTTGTATAAAAACAAAGAATACATGGAACACAAAATTTACCAAACAAGAATAGTATTAATTATTCATGCTTTGAAGAAAGTGTTTAATACCTCTTCTAGATGCTGAGCAGCAGAGACATACTTCTTCTCTGTTAATGCACAATTATACTCTTCAATAGCCGTAGAAAACTGAAAAGATAAGTATAGTTATTAAGTATTTTATTCTACACATCCTATTATTTCAAGTCTGTCTGCTTGGTTTTTTATTCAAACCTGAAAAAATACCGTACAGTCAAGGGATACCCACTTAATAATGAGACCATTTGGGAAAAAAACACTTTCTCACCACCAAAACATTGAAAGTAGAGTTGAAATTACCTCTTGCAGCTGTTTAAGCAAACTTAGGACTACTGAGTCTCTTTCCAACTGGTGCTTCAAGTCTGTAAATTCAGCAGTTGATACATGAAGATCTCTGCGGACCTAATTCACATACCAAAAACAAGTAGTTTTAAGCTATACTGTGCCTAAGAAGTAAAAGACAGCTCACCAATAAGCATTACTGGGTTAATATAATTCATATTGAAATTTAAAAAATGCCAGGATTGGAATAAAAATCACAGAATGTAGTAGGAAGAGCTTTTACTTAAGGGGCCTATTTAGTCCAAATCTTTACCCTGTGCAGGAATACCCCTATCCATGAACTTAAATATCCTCATGTAACCATCAATCTTGAGTTAAGCAGTTACCTTTCATGAGAGTTCATCCACCTGGATTATTGAAGTGAACTCCCATTGCTATGTAGTAACTCATTCTACACCTAAAATTGGACATTTGCTCTGTCAACGACCTATTTTTCCTAAAGAGAGGCTATAGGGAAAAAATCTTAATAAGACAATATATATGAAAATTGTTCCTAAAATTATAAAGCCTGTTTCCAGACAGGCTTCTCTACGTAATGACAGTATTTCAGCAAACATGAAGTGTTTCTTATGTAAAGAAATATAGCATAGAAGAAATATAGTAGGCACTCATGCCATGAAGTGGCACAGTACAACATGGTCAAGGATTTTCTGGATGCCCAGGGAAAGTGGTTTTATGACATAAAGTAGAGTGACAAAAGCAAACCAAGTCAATTTCCCAGAGAACAGCAGTTATTAATGTATGCTAGCAACTGAGAAATGCTAGCACCTGAGAAATGCAAGCACTTTAAAGTAGGAGAACAGAGAAAAGGTCAAATGACCCCATTTAAGGCATCATCTGTTTCTATTTATCATGGAAACAAAATACTAAGACAACTGTAAAGTACTATCAAATGCATGATACTACTATAGGCTTTTTTAAGTTTGCCATAAAAAAAAATTGTTTAAACTACAGTCTTACAAAATATTTCTACCTTAAAGTTAGAAGTAATCCTAAAATCATCAAGTTCAACTTAAATTTACCAATAAGGTAACTGAGGTCATGAAGTTTTACAGAACAGAATTGTTTTATGAATCAGGAAGCTAAACTGCCTCCCCAACAAACCTACCCAATATAACAGACTCTTCTTACCTCTCTCTCTATCCTGGATTTCAGCAGGTCAATGTCTTCAGACAGTTTATCCACCTGTGTAACCAGGTCCTGTGCACTCTGCATGCTAGGCAAGAATTCACTATACTTCTTGCTGATCAAACTGCATACTTCACCCTAAAACATAAGATGGAAAACCTACAATGAGATGAGCAGAGGACTCTTTTAAAAATATATAGCTTGTCTTCAATAAGGAATCTTCCATGTTAAAAATTCTTGCCAGTTATCCATACCCATTCACTTTCCCGCCAAGTCAATGAATTTCTAAAAAATACATTTCTCCCACCCTTAAGAATCCCATAACATCATTAACGTTCAGAAAGGCAATGAAAACTGAGACAGGGCAAGCTAGGGTTATTAGGCAGTTTTAGGGATAGTGCAGGAGGGGACCTCTGAAGAATTTGGGGAGGCTTCAGAGATAAGGACAACCAAAGAAATATAACCAATTCCATTAGGAAAAACAAACATGCCAGGACCAAGGACAACATTGTTAATGCTGGTCCTGGTTTCCTTCAGGTGGTAAAGGGAGGCGGAGATTGGAGAAATGGAGAGTGGTTTAATTTATGGTCACATTAGAAGGGCAGCTGTTTAACTTCAATGCAGGGATGCCCATCCAAAGACTGGGCCATAAATTTAAAGATGCAACAAATGGGGAAAGAGAAAGCTGTTAGATAAGGAATGTGAAGATCCCCACTCAGTAACAAATTGAGTGAGACAGCCGAGAACTGACCAATCACAAAGAGACTGGGGCAGCTTTAGAATAATGAGGGAAAAAAGGTATATATTCCCTAAGACACGACTCTACTTTGGCTTCCTTGCCCCTCCCAGGCCTGGTTCCCTGGCCTGGGAGTCCCACTTTATTTCTGTTCTTTTTCTCCTCAATAAACTTTTTCTTTTTTCTAAACAAACTGCCTCTTCTCGCTTGCTTGCCTGAGCGTCTGCGAAGTTCCTGCTGCGGCTTCGTGAGACACCAACCCGTGGGGGTCTAGCGGCTGGGGCTCAGCGCTGCCCTGCAGCCTGGAATCCATTCCTGGCTGGGAGACTAGGCCTGACAATTCCGGTATCAAAACCAAATCCCAACAAGGTCTAAGAGTTGTACATATACTGGTAAAGAAAGGGGGAGATAAAAGTTCTCACACTGAAATATGTGAGCTCAGACTATAGCCACTAATTTTAATCATCTATGTACTAGAGAGCAAGAAGATAATCCATAATGTATATAATTCAATTAAAGAATTTCTATCTTCTTGCTTAGGAAGTCATAGATCTAATCTTAATACCCTAAAATGATGATTTTATTCATCCCCTTTAATTCAAATTAAATTAATAAGCAAATAATTGAACACTTAGCACTGAATTATTCAATGCTCTGGAAGATACATGAATAAATTATGCTTGCCAACAAATTCCTCTTAGGAAGGAAAGACAGTATATACTTAAGTAACTAGAACACAAAATACAGCTAGCATATATAAAATACAGAAACATAATGTCCTCCAGATCTGATGTTCTCCGGTAGCACAACTGAGGGGAAAGTGGGGAAATTTTCATGCAGAAACACTCCATTTGAGATGAAACTTGAAATAGGTAGAAATGGCAACATAAGCAAAATCTGGAAATTAAAAAAAAAAAAGTGGGTCTTCTTGGAGTATAAACAGTAATGCTCAATTGGCTAAGATTCAAGCTGGCAAAGGAAATGATTGAAAGGAAAGGCAAGTTAAGACACGAACATTTGGGAACCTTGAGTGTCATGCTGTTATAGGGCAGGGAGAGGGGCAGCCCAAACCCCGCAAACCTGCCTATTCTACATGGGTTCTGCCATCCGCCGCATCAACACAAAACATAGGAGACTTTAATGGGAAGGAACTTTAATAAAACTAGGAAACAATACAGGTAAGGCAAAGAGTCTAGTTTCTAAATGAAGCACCCAAAGTTACCCGTCCCCTCAGGGGTAAAAGTCCATCCAAATGGGATTGGCCCAGAACAAGGCCCCAAAGCCAGCCACAAGTCTAAAGCATCTTCCAGTGGGGACCCACAGAAAAGGGTCACAAACAACCGGACAAGCCCGGAAGGAAAAGAGCAAAATCAACATCAAGATAAAAGCTGCCATTGTCACCTCCCCACGGGTCTCACCCACATCTGTGTCACCTAGTCCACGACCAAAAGACAAGCGCAGTTTCTTCACGTGTCTCTAGGCTCCATGCGCCTCCTCCAGGTCTCCTTGCTCCATCCTGCTTCCTTCCTCAGTCTCTTCTGCAGCTTCTTCTCCTCCTGCTCAGCTCCACCCTTCCTTGGGTGGGGCAGGGAACCTGGAACCTCCCCCTTTCCTGGGGACCACCCTGTTACAATGCTACATTAGCTACACTTCCTTCCTTCATATAAAAGCTAATGAAAAATCCTAAATCCATTTTAAAGGAGAGCTGTGACAAGAACATTTAAAATCTAAAAAACCACTTTTGGTTAAAAACAACAACTTCATGCTTTACAGTACAGAGTCAAACTTGCTTCTTTAAATCCAGGTATATACATACAATTTTAAATAAAAGCAGTAAATATGTGGGCAAATACTGGCAAGGTAACAATACCAGTGCAAAGGAAAAACTGAGGCTATGTGGTTTTTGTTTTCTATCAATCTTAAGACAGCAGGGGCTTTGTAACATTTAACATACCCTCAAGGGCTTGAGAAGGAGAGTTTAATAAACATATTGATAGGTTTTAATAACAAAAATTTAGGGAGAAAATTGGCATAATAGTCCCAAAGCTATTATGTTGTTAAATAACAACAATTTGTTACTTTTAAAGAGCTAACCAGCTTTATTAAGTGATTAATTCACAACATCCCATGTAAGAAGAGGGTTTCAAAAATCTGTATAAAATGATTTTTTAAAGAAGACTTATTTATACATAGAAGAACTAGGGTGCAGGCCAGAGGAGCAAAAGGCGTGTGTGTGTGTGTGTGTGTGTGTGTGTGTGTGTGTGAGAGGATTCAACAGAGACAGAATGCAGAACAGAACAGGCAGGTCTACTAAAATACACTGCTAAGGGAAAGCGAGACAGGAGGGGTCTGCTGTGCCATATGAGGGTTAGCTCCATGGCCGGGGATGGAACTCAGGCCGTAGTAGTGATAAAGCTGTATAAAATGAAAGGTTTTTATAGACAGATAGCAGGCAAGATAAAATTAGAGGTGATTATTTCAGGCTTAGGTTACCTACCTATGGAGAATAAAAAGTCTTGTGGCTGATTATCTCACCTTTCTTTGAGAAACGGAAAATTACTTTAGTGCCAACCAGAAAATTCCATACTGATCATTTAAGAATATATTCCTTGGGGGGCAGGCTAACACCACATTTAGATTAACTATAAATGATTAAAAGGTTTAAAAGGTCAAAACCACAATGAGATACTATTTCACACCTGCACATATTAAAAAAATCTCCAACAAGTGTGGAGAGGATGCAGAGAAAGAGGAACCCTACTACGCTGTGTCTGAGAATGTGAACCCTATACAGCCATTATGGAAAGCAATTTGGATTTACCTTAAAAAACTAAAAATGGAAATACTGTATGAACCAGCAATCCCACTCTTGCACATCTATCCACAGAAATGACACCATCGATGCAAAAGGCTACATTATTGCAATGATCATAGCAGCATTATTTACAACAGCTAGGACATGGAAGCTGTCTAAATGCCTATCAACAGACAATTGATCAAGAAGATGTGGTATGTCCATATAATAGAATATAATTATATCCACACTATGGAATACTATTCATCCATAAAAAAGTTAAAACGCATCCATTTCCAATAAAAAGGAGGAAGTCTGAGAGAATTATGCATGGTAAAGAGATTAATAAAAATAAAAATAAATACTGGGCATTTACACAGTAGACAATTCAATACTGTCAAATATTTTAAAGAACCAGTGGACAACAATAAACAAACACCATGAAGAGTCTGAGGTGGGGGTTGGAGATAGACAGGTAGAGTATAAGGGGGAGAGAGGAATTAAGTTTAGCATCATAGCCCATCAGTAGAAATAAAATGAAAAAAAAAAAGGTATTAAGTCTTGATCGACTTAGTACAAGCACTTTGTTTGTTTTAACGATTCCCACCTTTTGATCAAACTCTCAGCTCAAGTGAGACATATGATCAAAATTTCAAGGCATAAGCATCCCTCTCAGAACCTGTTTTGAAGTACCTGAAGTTTGTGTGTTGTTGTTGTTATTGCTGTTTGATGTTCTTTTGTGTGGTATCCATAGGTCATAATGTTTTTGCTCTGCCCCTGTGATATTCACAGGTCACAGCTCCAGGCTTACAATCTTTCATCTGATCACTCTCTTCTTTTCTGATGTTCTAGTGTTAGGAAGATCATTTGCTTGGTGGTTAGCAAACACTCCTTTAAAGTGTAAAAGGCCACAACACACCAGGCAGTTTATGACTATAATAAGCAGGATGATTCCTAATGTTTGGAGTACACTTCAGAGCCGTGGTCCCCAAGACCTCAACCATCCAAAATCAAATAAGAAAGAGCCCACAAAAGGAGTCACCCTTTAAGCCAAATGGCTTGTTCAGTGATCTTAGGTAAATGAATTCCAACTTCGCCAGAAATGTTAAGCCAAGTGCAGTAGGTGTTGGCCATAGCACAGACTCCTCCTCCCTTGACCTGATAATCAAGGAGTTTCCTATTATCAAAAAACAACTTTGATCAGCAAGTCTAAGGATCTTTGTTAGATATAACATTAGCAACAATATAATCAGCAATATCCTTACAATTTAAGGAGAGGTTTCTGACTAAATATTCATTTGTATTTACTCCTAGCCAGAGAAGCACAGATCTATCAAACAAGGTGAATCCTAAATCATGAATGCCTCCTAGTAGGGCCTTCCTAATTCACTGTTGTGTGAATTAGGGGAGAATCAGGAACTGGCTCAGGGTAAAACTATCTACTAATTCAAACTAACCTGACCTGTATTGAAAAACCAATTAGATCAGTAACTCAATGCAGATATCAGAGGTCAGAACCAATAAGCACTTACCCATGGCCCTCAGAAACAGAGAGAAAGACAGTGAACTCAAAAGAGGTTCGCTGGTATCATGCCTGTGTTTCTCGTTCCCAAACGCCATCAGTAATTTACTTGGGATCAGTTGCTGCCACTAAATCTATTAAATAGCAAAAATCCAACCGAGTTAATTTTAAAAATCTAACTGGCTTTACTCAACCATTCATGAGTTGGCAGCATCTCATCTAGCAAGTACAAAAGAACTTCAAAAAGCTATACAACATCAGTTTTTAAAAGCAGAAAGAGGACAAGATAAGGGATAAGGCGATTCCTTCAGGTTTAGGTAACCTATCCATGGCAAAAGGAAAAAGGTTTTGTGGTAGATTCTCACCTTCCTTTAGGAAATGGAAAAAAGTTACTTCATTGATGCTGACCAGAAAAGTCAATACTGACTTTTCTGACCTGCTAAGTCTGCATCCTGGGGGAAGCTGAAGCTGCATTTGGGTTCGGTGTTAAATATTAGTGGACTTAGCACAAGTGCCTCCATTTCAGGGCTATTTGTTTTATTTTACTTTGTTTTTAACAACATTCATCAACAAATCCACAAAGAAGAGTCGGAGGAGGAGAAAAACACAGATGGGAGAGGGAGCCTGTCTTCATTTCTTTTTTTAAATTTTACTTTATGTATTTTTTACATCATTTTTCATTTTTGCACAATGTGTGCATTTTCATCTTGGTTATATTCCCCATACAATTCCCCCCCCCCCCCTTATGACCCTACTCCCTCCTCCACCCCTTCCCACGTAGTGTGTCTCTGGTTTATAGTTGCTTGTTGATTTTGATTCTTACTTTCTTTTAATTAGTCATTTTCCTGGCCTCCTTCACATAAAGTTCCCTCCCTAGAAGCTTAGGGGCTTCCAGTCCTTGCCGCCCCTGCTCGGCTGGTCTCCTTGGTTGTCCTGCTAATTCCCCCACCGCAACCCTCTCCAAGCACACCCTACTCCCCACCACTCCCAAGTCACTGCCTCTTCCTCCACACAGTCCCAGGTCTCCTCGCCCCCGCAATCCCTGAACCCCGTCCGGGCTCCCCCCCCCCCGCCCCTACTCGCCCCAGCCCCCCACTGACACCTCTACCCACTCCGCCTTCAGCCCCGCCCCCAACCCCCACCCCCGTCACACGCCGACCCCTTTCAGCTCTCCAGTCAACAGCTGCTCCGCCCTCACCTTGATCTCCTCCACCTGCCGGGTCAGGCGGCTGATCTGGGTGCCCAGGTCCTCCTTCTCCAGCCTCCCCGATTGTGCCAAAACTTCCGTCACGAACGAGGCCATCGTGACCACCGGGACCAAAGCTGACAGTCGCTCTCTAAAAGCCAGCGCGGCAGCTCCACTCCCGCCGGCGGCCTTGGCGCCTGGCCTGCCGGGAAATGGAGTCTCGCGGGTCCCAGATCACAGCCGCGAAAACGCGGGCTGAACTACAATTCCCAGCAGACAGAACGATGATCTTGGCGTACAATTTCTACGGTGTCCGGTAGGTGGCAAACTATGTGGGACGCGTTTTCCTCTGTTGATTTTTTTTTTTCTTTTGAAATGGCTTGTCTTTTCCCGCCCGTTTTTTTACTGGAAGGAATGAGAAGTTGTTATTTAATAACCGGTCTTCACTGATTCTCGCTCAACTTCAAAACACTTATCTATAAAAATTTATCCAGCCAGGGCCCTCCCTGGTGGCAGGAGGTTGAGCGCTTCGCTGTGAAGCTGTCCACAGCCTCGGCAGCGCGGGTTCGATTCCCGGCCGGCCAAGAAGCTACCCACATGGCGCACAGACCTCTCCTGCCGCGCCCGCTGCTCCTCTCAGCAGTGTATTTCGTCAGTCTGCCTGTTCTGTTCCCTGCTCTGTCTCCGGTGAATCCCTTCACCCTCTTGCGCTTCTGGCCTGTACCCCGGTTCTGGTATAAATAAATAAATCTTTAAAAAAAAAAAAAAAGAAAATTTATCTAGCCGGAAGACCAGACGGACCCACTCGATCTTTTTGGTTAAATAATCATTCTCATTGGCACACAGTGGCCATCAGACTATAATGAATGGTGCCCTCTGAAGTTGTGCAATAAAGTGGCGTCACCTCATAAAAAGCTGACTATTATTGCATTCCTTTTATATTGTGTAGTTTACATTACATCTATGTATGTTTACTACAAACGATATGTGTATAACTACATAATCTATGTAAGACATATGTTTACGCTTTTTATAGTATTACTTAGGTATAAATGCTATTAGTACTGTGTGGACTAGATCAATATACTTTGCACTTTATAGCAGATATTACAATTCAATTT